ACTTCCTCTCTCTCCCCACTTCTCCTCACTCTCCCTCCCCACTTCCTCTCCCCACTTCCCCACTCTCTCTCCCCACTTCCTCACTCCCTCTCACTCTCCCCACTCACTCTCCCCACTCACTCTCCCCACTTCCTCTCTCACTCTCCCCACTTCCTCTCTCACTCTCCCCAATTCCTCTCTCACTCTCCCCACTTCCTCTCTCACTCTCTCTCTCCATTCTATCCCCTCTAACTCCCCACTATCTCCCTCTCTCTTTATTTTTATTTTGGCCGTCTAACTCATTTATTTTTAGGCCTTGTGAAAAAAACTAATATATATGCATAATACATAGATGTTTCAAAGTTATTTACAATAAAATTAACGGAAAAAATACTTATTCCAGAACAAAGACAAAATTCTTACCGTTATTATAAAAGAAATTATAAAATGTTTATTCTTGATCTTTTTACTTTGAATTAGATTTGGCAAATTTGTCTATTTTTGCAACAAAATGAATGTAATTCAAAATTATAAGGGCGATAACTTCAAACAGAAAATACTGCTTCCCAGTTCACAGTTTGTTCATTGCGTTATATGTTTGCGCATTTAATTTTATATGCTTGAAAAACAATATTTATATGCTTACTAACATGCAAGGAACATATCAGCTTGAAATCTAAGTTGGATATTATTTGTTGTACCGTTATGAAAAATAGATGTGCGGCTAATGCCCTAAATTATCCACATGCAGAGAGGAGGTCTATGAATATCCTTTATTTGATCTAGTATGTAATAAGGGTTTGGTATTCCATATCCTTTTCCCTTGTATGCTTTCAGTTTTCTATATTTTTTATCTTGTTCAGACATCGTGTCGTTGCTTTCAATGTTAACCAAAATGAACTTGCATCATGACTCACTCGTTGTTCTACGCATTACCCGGCATTTCATATTTTCTTATTGCATATAAACGTTCGTTTGGTGTTTGTTCAAATACGTACTCTTAATAAAACTATGTATAATCTTTACTTGTTGCATGGTTCTACTCTGCTGACCATAGATTTCTACTTAACGGTTTTGAATGGACAGTATGAAGTGATTAACCGTTGGGTTATCAACGTAATTTGAGTAAATGTTCACCTTATTACAGGTCCTAGCAAAGCTTCTGGGAAAATTGAAATCATTCACTTAAGTAATAGAGCCATTTAATCAAAAAAAAAGAAAGAAAGTCGAGCAAATTGTGGGCTTAAAAAATTGTTCCGAAGTTGCCTCGGTCGCGCATAGGAACCCTCCTCAATCTACATGTACTGTATACATAACATTAGAGAGATCAAAGTTTATAAATTGTAATACACTTGAAGTAAGCATTTAATTCTAAGGCTGAAGGAAGAATTTAAGAAGGAATGCCACATCAACTTTTTTTTCATAGATCTTTAAGACATCCCCTTTAAACTATGGTTTCAGTATTCAGCATATTAGCTTTAAATTATTTTATAAAAAAAAAAAAATTCCCAATTTTTCATAGAAAATGAAAAAAAAGAAAGATTTTATTTGCAAATAAGATGTTTTAGAGTTAAAAATTTGCTATTAATAAATGCAGAAAATGAATATATAATAAAATATGTAAACAAAAGCAAGCTGGACATTTTAATTTCTTGGTACTAAAAATTATTAATGAAAATAAAAACACAGTATTTGTGAATATTTTCGAAACCTATGGATAATGTATTCAAAAAAACAAGTCACAGCTACAATGAATATGCTAGACAATCAGATTTTAAAAAGAAACTAAAATGAAAATGCGAAATTTTAGAAAAAAAAATTTTTTTTAATTTTGGCCACCACCGATCGAAATTTAAGCTGATCCCAACCAGAATTTTTTAACAATTGTAAATAGATAACATTTTCACAAAAATACTAGTGTGTTTAGGTGTAATACGGATTAAAAGGTAATTGAACTTGACAATCAAATAGATTTCTTAGAGGTAAATACATAAAGAGGACGATAATTATAATTTTATTTATTTGTGTTAATTTTGATCGGGATCACTTTCATTTTGATCGGGATTGATCCAAATATTAGAATAATTATTTTCCCTTAGCAATTTCATTTCAATTTCTTTTTAAAATATGATTGACTAACATATTCTCCCTAGTTGTGACTAGTTTTATGAAGATTTTATCCATAGGTACAAAATATATTTACAAATTATGTGTTTTAAATTCATAAATAATATTTAAAAAATTAAAATGTCTGTCCAACCTCTCTTTACACATTTTATTAGACATTCATATTATGCATTTATTAATTTTTAAACCATAAAGCATCTTTGATTTGAACGTATTTTATTGTCACTTTACAAATGGGATTGGGCAAAATTCTCCCCACAGTAAAGTGTGAGTATCAACAGTATGTATTTTCCCATTCGCAGAAATGTGTCAAAAAATTCTTTTCTGGCCTCTGTATATTTTTTGCATGAAAAGAAATAAATATGAGTATCCTCCGCACTTCCACAAGAACATATAGGGGACTCAAAATTACATTACATCGAAAAAGATCGCTATTATATGGAATTCCATATACGACAGCCAACTGCTCACTGCCTACTGCCAACTGCCAGCTGCTTACTGCCAACTGCTACTGTTTAATAGATGATATTGCCTGTTTTGTTATCTTTAACATCTTTAATATGCATGCTTGAATAAATCCTATGCAAGAAAAGAGCGGCGAACGATAGTATTGTTCTGCCAACAACCTAAAAGTTCAATTATCAAAAGTTAACATATTTTATATAGATATTTATAGGAATTTTCATAAAACATCTTATTTGGGAAACCAATGAATACCGAAGATATACACATCGTTTTTCGATATTTATAGCCAATTTGATTTTTTTATAATCGTGGTTATGGGTGATGGAAGTTCCATGGGGTCTGGCTATTGTATTGTCTAAGTAAAGGAAAAGGAAAGAACAGGTTGCTGTGCAGTTTGTTGTAATTTTTTTCACCATAGAACGTTTTATCCGTCCTTAGAGAGGGACTGAAAAGGTTTCCAATAGACCGTGACGATGACGTTGGCGCGTAACAACGCCACGTCAAGATTGGGCTATCCTGTCATCTGTGCAATCGCCACTTACGACCACTGAACTTCTAATATTAATACAGTAGGCAATCATAATCGTTACATTCAACCAAAAACTGAAAGAAACTCATTGCGCGATTTTGGTTTTTGAGCTCGTCAGCTTTACGTCAGTGTTCCTCTCACTCACGCGCGTGTGCGCATTAAATATGCCTAATTTTTCAGCATGTAAACCCACGGCCTAGTGTAGCCAGTGGAGTTTGTCAAGACTTTCTCGCCAACATTCAAATTAACCCACTCGATTGATGCCCGTACAATCCATCTTTTTCTCCAGTCGAACATTTGTAGGACTAAATGGACGGTAGGGTTAAAACTCGACGTCGGAATGTCCAAGCTACTCTCGACCAACTAAGCGCTGCCTTATCCCTATGAAAAAGATAAATGCACTTAATTATGAACTCCATGCAGAGAAGAATTAAGGCTGTGACAGATGCACGAGGGAGGTATAGGAGATGAAGAGAATTTTCGATTTTCACTTTTGGGGGGTACCTTCATTTGAGTTTAATAATTCATGAATTATCGGTCAAAATCAAATGATTTTTTTTTCTTACTTGTTGATGAAAAATGAGTTTAAAAGTTTGATAACAATACTGGAAAATTCGTTCGGAAATAAAAACATTAAACAACTTCAAAAATTTACCCTGCTTAAATTTTTTTTCTGTATCACTACCTATACCAAGGGTTAGAAAGCCCCTGGGGTCAACGTGGCACCCTACATGTATATACGTATGCGTTCCAAAACATTTTTTATCTGCATGATCACTTGTGCATCAAAAACAAAAAACCCGATGGACTACAATTCTCTCAATTTGCTTGTTTAGACTAGTATAAAGGTCGCTTAGAAAGGGAGTAAGTTTACCTTAAACAGAAACATAAATGTCTCTTAAATTAAATTAATGTAGCATGTACACCATGTACACAGGCACTTGGTTCGTAAACAGGGCATCCCTTCCTGTGGCCCTGTGGAAAGAGAAAGGAATGGAGAGAGTGCCCTGTCTACAATTGCCTGTGAGCCTGTATAGCCTGTGCTCTCATTTGACGAACATCTGGTGATTGATTAAATGTTCCATGATATCTAAAACAAAATAAAAATACCAACATGCTTATATGAATGTTATTTATCATTAAAACAAGATGTGTTTGTGAAACACTGATGTCCCCGTATGGCAACTTATAGCAAAGGTTAAACTTTCTCAAACGCAAATCAAATATGTTGGTACCCAAAGTAAGGTCTAGTCTCGAGGAATAAACCTGTCAAATATGAAAGACCTAGCAGCAATCATTGAATAGATATGGAAAAGGTTAAAGTTTTTTTCAAAAGTATGTCAAACATCAAGGTCAAGGTTAAGTGGTCAACATTAATGGTGCCCAAGGAAAGGCCATCTCCCAAGAAATTCACAGGTGAAATATGAAAGCCGAAGCACCAATTGTTCAAAAGTTATGGCCAAGGTTAAAGTTTGGTAAAATTTTGCAAAACTGGGTCAGACTCCAAGGTCAAGGTCAAAAGGTCAAATATGATGGTACCCAAAGAAAGGTCTTGTCACAAGAAATACACATGTGAAATATGAAAGCCATAGCTCCAACTAATCAAAAGTTATGGGCAAGGTTAAAGTTTTTGCGGACCAACAGACAGACAGACAGACGGACGGACAGGGCAAAAACTATATACCCCCGAATCTTCGATACGGGGGCATAAAAATTTAAAGAAACAAAGAGAGAAGAGAAGCCATATCCACCCAGAAAAATAAATCGGATCGGAATACCAATTCCGGTTTTAACTGCTATAAAGTATATTAGGGTCTTTTGTGCGCTTAGGAAAATGTAATTAGACCGTATCTTTCGAAGAGATTAAGTGACAGGGAAGTTCCCAAATTTCCTGGTAGAAAACTGAAAAGATAAGATAGTTCAAAATTTCAAAAGATTGTCTTGCATATGATAACTTTAATAAGACAGATCTACTAGTAGAAATCAATGTGAGTTTTTCAGTGATTTTACATGTTTTATTTCTTTACTGTATTCAGGAAAAGCTAATGCTAACCGATAATCATCGATCGTTCCTCAGGCCAGGGAAAAAATAATTGACCTGTTGACGGCGAACATAAATACATACACTGATTCAGTCCTTATTGTGAATCATGCATTGATTATCAGATATAACTTAAGTCCATTTCAAATGTTTTCCCTTGTGAATAAGCTTCTAAAACTCGGAAGAATGATAAACTGGTAAATTGGTCTAAACTTCATGGAAGGGATGCAATTATATATCTTGTTTATGTCAGTCTTAAACGAAACTTCAGTGGTTTTGCAATACTTAGTATCTGGCAATTAAATCACACTTTTCTAATTTAATGCTTGCATCTCTAAATCTTGCAAGATTTCTGGGAGATATTAATGTTTACGCTAGTGATAATCGAATGATTCAAACAATTATGCAGAAAGTACAATATAATGTCAAGACTGACTTTTTTTAATGAAATGCATATTAAACTTTAGCATATTTAATGAATAATATATACATGTATTTTATTTTTCTACAGAAATTAACAGTACAAGTATATGCCATGTAGTGGCATTTTCCAACCATGCTTTCTGCAGAAATACGAAATAGAAGATCAGGACCATCAAAGGCTTCTATGACTCGTGTTCATTCTATTGTATCTGATGCCACTTTCAGACTAAGGAGGCTTCCAGTGAGGGCCAAGTGCTTTCTTATATTTGCTGCTGTCCTTTCATTCTACCTGTATGGAAGCCTATTTTTATCTCTATCTAAGAATCACTTGACAGAGGAGTCATATTTACAGACAGATAAATGTCCAGCATGTTTTGGACATAGTATATGCATGGATTTAAAGGACGGTTTGGTCAGAATGAAAGGATGGTCAAGAATAAAATTTTTAGATTTTGTGAATTTAAAGAATGTCCATCTAGGACATCATGAGGGTCTAGATAAACAAGTTATTTTAAAGAAGTTAGCACATAACAGAGAATGGGAAAATATTGACAACAAAATTTGCACTGAGGCAAACAGACCTCTTGGATGTGATGTTGCAAGAGTGCTGGACAAAATGAAAGTGACAAATTCAATTCAGAGAGAAGGATTACAGCCAAAACACCTGAAAGATTTAAACTACATGTTTGCCTGTCCAACATATAATTTAATAGACAGAATATATAGATATTATAAAGAAAAAGTCTACCCTGAGCGACGTGAAATGATGTTTAGGGATAAACTACAAATATATGCAACTGCAATGGTGAATCCAGAACCTCTTATACTACAGGTACATTTATATGCTCTTGTTCTTTATATGTGAAATAATAGCATAGAAAATATGGAAAGATACTATAAAAAACGCTCTTATTAATTATTATGGACATTTTTCAAGTAATATAACTGTATATATATATATTTTTTAAATTCTAACTGTATTTGCATATTAAACTAAAAGATATAAAACAGATCACCAACACTTCGTGAGAATGCAGCAGTAAATTGCATAGTATTTGCATATATCAACATATGTACCAGTATATTCAAGACAATTTAAAACTTCAGTTATATTTTATCATGTTTATACCTATGATTTTCAGACATTCCCAAAGAGTGAAGGCTGGCCATTTCCTGAGTACTATGGAGCTTGTGGAAGGTTTATTGTTGTCAGCAATGAAGGAGAACCTCTAAATAATTTCTACAATGCACCATGGCATAAAAGGGTACAGATTTTTCTTGTATCATGTATATATATCATATAATGACATTGAGATTGGACTTTTCCAACTGCAAATTACCCAATGTGTTTCAAATCATATTGAATGGAGATAAAGTATAATTATGCTTAATACTGAATCCCTGAAGTCTTATTGAAATATTTGCAAATATGCTATAACATTTTGTACATTATACATGTACATAATATAAGCAATCTACATGTATAAATAAAAGGAAGCACAATGCATTAAGAAAAATGTTTTAGTACATGATAATTTGTTCAGTGAAAACTATGATATTTAATTAATATAAACAAATTCTGGTGCAGGAATAAATATTCCAATTAATGTAAAGGAAAATCTTAGAACAAAGAAAAATATAATAGTTATACATGTACCGGTATGTGCAAATACATGGATCTTTTAAGTTTTGCATGCCTTGTGTAGCCAATAAGAATGGACAAGGTATATCTTAATCAGCTGCGAGATGAACCTCACATTATACTTGCACGTTTTCATTTTTACTCAAAGGCTGATTTGGCATACCAAATAATGAAGATTGCAGAAAGACTAACAAACCATGGCAATCCTTATGGCTTATACTGGACGGATTTAAGTTACGAAAACCTAGTGGTGGACGACACTGGAAGAGTTACGGTTATTGATGTGGAGAATGTAGTGGTGGTGGATAGACTAGCCATCCAAAAAGGTGAGTGTCTTAATAGAGTGATAATTATGGATAGACTGGATATCTGATCAGGGTATTTTAGTGGAGTAGTGGATGAGCATATAGACTGATCTTTCAGAAAGGCTAGTGTTTTAGTATAGTAGTGGTTGAAATTATAGACTCCAACAAGATGAGTTTTTTTTTTTTTTTAAGAAAGTGGTTTTCAAAATACTGGCTTTTTAAAGAGGTGTTTTAGTTTGTATATTGTATGTTTATAGTACATGTTAGTGATGTAATGTCCTTAAACCAGCGTACAAGTTTATATAAAAATATTCTCAGAATGTAGACTTGATAGTACATCAACCATTGTAAAAGTTGCAATTCTGTAAAACTTCTTTTAGGAAATACAATCCATTTTGAAAAACTAAGTGGAATGCTTTAGATGATTATGAAAATAGTTGGTATTTTAACACATTCTTTACTGTTCCACAATTCAACAGTGTAAACCCCTAAGCTGTCTAAATAATTAGTACCTGTAAAATTCACATTCAATTCTGTGTCTGTAATGTTCTTTTTGTTTGGGAATGTTACAGTGGGTAAGTCTTCGTTATATATTTTATACAATTGTCCTACAAAGTAATTTAAGGATGGCACCAAAACATATGCAAATATAAATTATTTTCAGACACTTCTGAACTTGAAGAATATAGTGTGCATGAATATATGACTAAAAAATTTAATCAAGACATGATTTGTATATTTTTGATGTGACATAAATCTTTCAGTTAAACCCAAAGGATACGATGATTTACTTGAATCAAAATTTGATGATTGCGGAGGTAAGAACTGCTTGGTCTTCTCAACAGAAGATCTCTGTTCTCATAAAGAGTCGGACCACAACTATTTTGCAGCCTGTCGCAATCTCCTCTCCAAATATGCTAACGAGGGTGATTTAGGCATGCCAGATGGACTCCTCCATGATATGCCAAATTACGCTCGAGATGACTTTGATTTAGAGCACCTGCTGAATGAATGTGTTCATCCTACTGTAGCAGAAGGGAGAATGAAGGCAAAGCAGAAAATTATGGATGCATTGGACCAGTTACGCAATGTTGTTGATAAGAAAGATATAGCCGAAGGAGACAGAATTTGAAAAATCAGGTCATTTGATGTAATTGGCTGTAAAAGTAATTATTTTGATTGTTTTCCATTATAAGTGATGAAGCACTGCTTATGTATGAAAAGATATATACCTCAGGGGGTGCCTTAAACACTTTATACAAAATAAGACTAAAAGGATGATTGTTGAATTTAAGTGATATTACATTGGGTATTGCAAGTTTTTATGGACACAGTTAATCTTTCAATTTTTGGTCTTCTTCAGTAAATATTTTTTTTAATTATTAACCTTGCTGGCTTGTGCAGGGTTAACTGTGGTCTCACCATGTACTGGATTTGTATTAGCTTTACAGATATGTGCATGGCTATGACTTTTTTGATTCATTTAAGAATCTATTTTACATGTAATGTAATCATGTATATGTACCTGTACATGAACAATACATTGCACTCTTTCAGCAACAATTAAATTACATTGTAAATGTACAGGGAGTTTATTTAGCATCAAATTATCATTTATTGCATTGCACTGTGTCATATCAGGTGTGCATACCAATTGAATTACACCGTCATTAAAGTTACATGTATGATGAAGTAAATTATTTTAGGTATTGTGTATACAATGTAATGTACATGTACATTCTACCATGAATAATATTGTACCTTAAATTTTCTACTAGAGTGTTCTGAATCCAAATTTATCTAAGTGTCTTGGTGTCTATGTTATTGAAATATTTACTGGATGGAGGATCTGTTGATATTCTAGCTGTTGGTGAAAATCACTTTTTACTCATGAAAACTTTATTTCCACATTATTACGCAAGAATGCCTGCTCGCGAAAATTTAATTCTTGTGTATGCATGTATTTGTATTACTAAAGATTACATAGAACAATAACCAAAATTCGTGACAATTATGTCTCACTTATAAATTACAAATGACCATCTTGCGAAAATAAGGTATCGCTAAAATTTGGTGAACTACAGTATCTAACACTTTTTAATATGGATGTATGTACATTTTGTTTGTTTATACTGTGTATGAGAAGGATCGAATCCTCTTATTGATTACTATGAAAATATATTAGTACAAATACATGTATCTCAAAAGAGTTGAATAAGGTAAATACTTTATCAAGGAAATCAATAGCAATGTAGAAACCATTGGCCTGATCTTCCATAGTTTTAGTTTTTAGATAGATATTGTGATTTTTATGAAAAAGAAATAAATCAAAATTACAATTTTTTTTTTTTAATTCATCCATCCGTCAGGTTAGCTTAGTACTGTTCTATTAGATTTAATTATTATAGTATGGATCATGGTTACCCCCAAAATTCAATGTATTGCAAGGTTTAATACTGTACTATTTATGGTACATGTACATTTATATAATTTTTCATTTTTAACATTCCATATTACAGAAGTTGTTTTTTTTAATTCATGCTTTAATTTCATATGCAGAATGCAATTGTCTGATGAATTATCTGCCATAATTATGTACCATTAATGATTTGAAAGTACATGCAAATATTGGGGAAGGTACACTGATTTATTAGTAATATTTTGTTGTTTTTAAGTAAATGAAATATGTGCATAATTTAATGTATGAACAATATATGATCAAGTTTTAATTATACATGTATATCTTAATATATAAACCATATTGGATTTGGAAAAGGTTATCGTTAAAATGTTTTAAAATAAAAAAGTTTTAAAAAAATTTATTGGTTTTGAAATATTTGGAGTAATGAATTCCAGTTGTGATGTAAACACTACTTGTGAATCATTGTCACTTTTGCTTCTTAAGAAGTGAGTGAATGTACAAATTTTTAAAAATGTGAATTTTTACTATTAGTATTATTACTATACGATCATTTTTTTACTAAAATTAATATTTACAATTGTATACACAAGATTGAAGATATTTACTGCAAGGTGGACTTTCTAACATACCTTTCTGCGACTCTTTCCACACACACGTTGTCAGCTTGCAAAATTAAGACAATGGGCCGCTACACTAACATCAGTCATCTAATAACTCTGGCCTATATTTTTTTTTATTAAACAGTTTGCATACTATCAATTTGTTACTCTATGGCTTATGGCATGTTTCGAACAAATTTAATTTCTATAAAGGTCAATAAGACACATTTTCAAACTGTATATGTCTAAAATTTTTGTAGGTTCAGGTTCGTCGTCCTTTTTGCACACTCTTAAATGGTAAAGATTTTCCAAAAGAAATCTAAACTATTAATGAAGTGCAAAAAATTTAACCATACCTTCAGTACAACATTTTACTATAATCACCTTTTTGGCAAATTTTTTAAAGGAAATAATAGTCATTAATTATAATGAGAGTTATCTCCCTTATCAGAGGGTCAATGATCCTTAATCAGGGGTAAGCACTGTTTTTTGACATTTGCACACACTTGTGCACAGAGACTGTGCAGAGTTTGGTTACTCCTATATCACTTGCAATGTTGTTGCAAGCTAGGATGATGTATCATATACATGTACCTTTTGAAGCTTAAGTCTACCCCTCTATGGTTACTAGTAATCAAGTAATGTAATGGCAAATTACACCCTTTCAGTCTTTGACATAGCAAAGCCATTCCATTTTGTGTTGCTCTGTTCTTGAGATATCAAGCCTTTGCATAAAACTAAAGAAAAATAATTGAGACAGGATTTATTGGCACTTTGAGGCAACAAAATTTTTTGTAAAGGTTTAAAATGTCATTTTCCTAAGCTTTAATTGACGTCAAGAGCTGCTGTTTTCAGTCATGTAAGCCTGGACTGCTCTCCACAAGGCTGTGATGTTGCCTGCACCAAACCCCTGGGCTCCTACTCTTTGAATAAGTTCCAGGAAAAATGTCCTTTTGCTGAAAATTGGTTTGGTAAATTTCTGTAGCAGGTATCTGAAAAATAATTTAAAATATTCATGATATCTATAAACACTTTATCCTTGCCTCCAAGACAAAGAAAAAGAAGAGTCCCTTTTTCCTCTTCTTTTATTTCTTTGTCTTGGCCCCTTTCCCCATATCTTTTTTTTTAATGAGAATAATATACTTGTTATCATACATGTATAAACTAATTTCAGTAATACTTCTGTAATGATTGCTTAAACATCTGCACTTTATAAATATGGAAACAGTTGGTATAAACAGAAAGAAAAGGATTATGTTTAAAAATGAAATACAATAGTATTTTCAGTCTTGCTCCTTACAGACAATTACAATGTACTATCATGTTAACACATACTGTTATTAGTTATCATTCGTTAAATGGATGTGTTTCATACATCACAATCATTTTCACTAAAGGACTTGCATAAGTAGCTTGTTAACATAGAAATGTTCAGTGGTGTGTATGGTATTTGCAAACTTTAATAAAGAAACATTTATTTACCTATTGGTTTCGCAATGGTTTTCAAGCTCTTGATCAGCATCAGCCTCAGTATCTAGTAACACCCCATTAGATCTGAGATCCTCCACATGGAACCTCACCTTCTTTATCTCAGACAGCTTTATATCCTACATAATGCATGTAAATTTCATGAATCGGAGAAAAACACTCATATATATATTTGTTAATCTGTGTACATGTTTTTCTGGAATATTTCTCTGTTAAAGTTTATTTGCAAACTGAAAAGAGCAAGTGTTTATTTTCCATGTACAATATGAAACTCAATTTCGGAGAGATTTTTTTTTTTTTGGTCTCATTAATTTAGATGAAAACCTTTTGTAAAATAAATGTATCACTTCCTATTAAATGCATGCGTGTAGCTCTCTTAAAAAGGCTCATACATGTACAAGTCCAAAAGAATTTTAATACCGTGTATTGGAAAAATATGAGTTTCAACACTTATTGTAAGGAATTCTAATAAATTCTAGACTATGAATATTTTTCTCTATAAATTTAAAGAAAAAAATGTCTTTCACTCACATCTGTGTAATATGCTGGTGGTGGTTCCACAAACTGGACACCACTTTCCTTGAAAGTGGAGACAGCTGTCATGATATCTGGGGTATACAGCCCTACATGCTGGACTCCAGGGCCCCCATGGTCCTCCAAGAAAATGTCCACCTGGTTTGCTCCTTTGAGAATGAAAATGAAAGCAAAAATAAATTGAATATTTTATACTTAAATGAACTACTTGTATCTCACTGTTATGCCTGGGAATAAAAATGCATGCTGTACATTTTTAAAGACAAATATGTGAATTAGAATTTAAGTTAGGTGAGAATCTGTACTCTTTAGTTGTTAAGATTTAATTAATGAAAACATTAAAAGGAGTCATTCACAAGTTTGACTCCTAATTCAATACCTTGGCCCTTTAAGGATTCTACAAGGACAAATCTGATGGAGTCTTGACTTCTTCCTGAGGTAAGGCCAGTCTCTGAACATCTCCAGTATTCCATAGCTTTCATTCTCATCCCTATGCCTGTGTCACTGATCAAAAACCCCTCATCTTCATCTTCATTGCTGTATAAAAATGTCCAAAAAAAAATACACATTTGGTTTCTTGAATATGTTCACCTTTTTCAATTAGAATTAATTTACAGTTAAGTTGAAATATTTTGAATCATTTTACCCCATTATTGTAATAATCTTGAGTAAATATGCATCAGATACATGTCATATATTGACACATGTAACAAACATAAGATAAATGATGTAAAGTTGAGTAAAATATTTTAAAAATATTGAATTTGATAAAGTTCAACTGTCGTTATATGAAAGTGTACCAAAATTAGCATATCGTATACATGAGCATGATTGTACTTTTTCGAAAATACAAGCACAAATTTCTTACCTGTTGATGAAAAACCTCTTCATGCTAAAGCATTCCTCATACCATTGAAGTACATGAGGTGTTGAGCCTTGTTCACATACAAAAGCTATATGATCTATGTGGGTTACTAAGCCATTGTAATTGACATTAACTTCTATCAGATTGTTTTCAGGTGGGTTAAAACCTGGCAGAAAATCACCGGAATATTCATTATAACTTAACAATGTATGATACACATTACCAACACACGATTTAACAACAGCAATGTCTACTTTTCCATGTTCATCTTTCAGACTCTGAGGTGATGCAATTACCTCCCCTCCACCTTTCACTACATTGTTGATAACCTGCTTTAAATCTGTCACTTTAAGTGCAACGTTAAAAACTGAATCCTTGTCATAAACTTTATTACTCTCCAAAGTCCACCAACAGTTAAATAATGGGTCGTTGGCAGTAACTTTCCTCACATTTTCCGTAGAAGTATTTTCAAGGTGACACCTTGAATCTGGTTCAGTCACCAATAATGTTGCTTTTCCGGCTTTAAGTACCCACTGTTTACAGTAGCGACGAGATCTATATGCCATACAATGAAAACCAAACTTTCGCTTAAAGGAATTGACGAAGGATTCTCCATCTGAAACTCCGAATTCAATGTGATGAAGAGATCCTGCCTCCATTTATACCAACAGCTGACCGACTTTGCTCACGCCGATTTCTAATGTTATCAATCCTATGGTTCAAATTCAATTTAGAGCACTTTCCAAGTTATGTTACTTTACAAAATTAAATCACTCTCGACTCAAACTGCAGTAAACAGGCTTTTCAATACGATATTCACATGTGATCACAGTGATGAGTTTAGAGTTGACTTTAACAACCTTTCGTAATGTGTTTAATATTGGAATGCCGAGCCCGAGATTTATCTTTGATAATTTAAAAAATAGGCCTAATGGAAAACTGAAATATGCTCGTGACAATTAATCTATCAAGAAAAGTGGAGACGAGTTTATTTTGTGTTTCAACATTACATTTTTATTTTTATATTTTTTTTTAATATATTGAATATTGAAGCATAAAGGGGGGGGGGGGCACAACCTAAAATAAATTATTGACGGCAAAAACAAAACATTGAAAACAAAACAAAAGAATGAGGTGGCGTGATCGTAAATTAGCTCTCTTTTCTATTGTACAGTATATATGCAAAATTATTTAGGACACTCCCCCGAACTTTCTCCCTTGTATATTGTACTAAATAAAAGTTACTTAATTATGTACATGCATGCACATCAGCTGTCCAGATATTAAAAAGTCTTTGTTTCTTTTAAAATTTTCACATATTCTCAGAGATGGCGATAAAGACTTTCATTGCAATTCTTTATTTTAAAAAATTAATTTGCTCCTTTAATTAATATTTGAGAAAGAGATTTGAAAATAAACATGTCTGACCTTGTGCGTACTCATGATTTTTTTCCTGGAGGGGGGGGGGGTCACTTAAAAAAATCGACTCAAAAATTTGTTGAAGCAAAAAAAGAAAACAAAACAAAACAAAAACACATGCAACATCGTGTGTGTGTGTGTGTGGAGGGGGGGGGGTTTCCTTTGTACGACTCTAATACTAACTTAAGAGGGTTTCTTGTTTCCTAGAAGTAGGGGGCCAAAGTCATATTTTGGTTTCTTTACTACATAAATTTTAACGCTTAAAATCCTTCCGGAAAAGGCGGGTGGGTGTCCGGACCTCCAGATAAGCATGTGCATGTCTGACTGATTCCAAACTGAATTCACATACTTATTTAAGTGCATATATACTACGCATTTGCAATAAGCAAAGCACGCAATTTCATATTCCAATTTATGCTGTATAAAATTGTGGCAAACTTACACATTTCATTATTTGAGTTTTTTTAGACTTAATTAAGTTCTACATGCTAAATATACAAAATTGTGAATTGATTCGATATGTGGTGATCATACTGAATAGAGTCTAAAATAGGCGCCTTTGTGTAAATACAATGGACATTGTCTTATTAAAATGACTGTCTTAAATCTTTTAAGATTTACACAAATAATGATATATCCATATAAATCGCACAGGATTGGGTCCAATTTTTTTTAACATACACTGTATGCTTTGGATGGGATCACTCACAGCTATAAATAATTATTGTATATATCTTATCAATAATTGTATTTCAATATTTCCTTGTTGCACTGTTGTAAATTCAATATCGTCTAGATGCGATAGACAACAATTAAAAGATTGGAGCAGTCAAATTTTAATATGAAATCAATACTTTTCGCCTACTTAAAGATTTAAACATGTTAGAATATTGCTATTATAAAATCAAGATAATCTCTATCGAAACTCAATAATTCATAAACAGGGATTCATTAATAACCAGGATTACTACAGGTAGGATGGAATCTAACTTTGAAAGCGAAATATCAGACACAGCGGTGATTATATTTACCACAGTTGTCATAATTCTATTATTTTTTGGAATACCTTCTAATACCTTATTCCTTTGGACTTTACTGAAAATTAGACGTCTCCGTATAATCCATAATACTTTTGTAGGAAATTTGGCGGTGGCTGACTTTCTTATCACAAGTTATCTGTTGCCCTTCAACCTAGTTTTTCTTCTCAATAAAGATGCCCGACTCCCGGATTCTTTATGTCGATTAAATGGAATGTTTGCCAATATCGTATTCTGTTCATCGGTTTTATCGGTGTCAACGATAGCGATTCATCGATATATCAAAATCTGCCACTTTTCGCTTTGTTCGAGAATTTACACAAAGACCACTGTGTCGGTAATAATTGCCGGTGTTTGGATTGTGGGTCTTTTATTTTCTTTACCTCTCCTATGGATGGACGATTCCCTCATCTTTGATCCAACTTTGCAAATGTGCATCTTTAACCGGTACGTCAATCAGCTGTACTCCATCGCTTACCTGTTTGGGTGTCTCTTTCTTCCTGTCAGTGTTACAATGGTTTGTTATTATAAGATTTTTGTCTTTATAAAACGACACAAACATAAACTAAAGTTGTCTTGGAACAACGGAATCGGACAACTACGATTCAAAAAAGATGTCCGGTCGACAAAATCGACTTTTGTCGTTTTCGTTCTTTACCTCTTGATGTATAGTCTCTTCGGGGTGCTGGCGACTTTCTTTGATAAACATTCACAAGTCCCTCCCGAAGTTCATGCAACTTCGGTATACTTTGCGTACGCAAACAGCTGTGTTAACGGCTTTGTCTACGGTTTTATGAATAAAGATGTCTTAAATGCATATAGGGAGGCAATCGATTGCTGTAGATCACCAAAAATTCAAGATGTACATGTACTAACTCAAGATAACCGACCAAAGCAGCAAAGTGAAACAAAAATTAGTAAAGTTACGGTTTCTGTGAAATCTAGGGACGTTATACCGGGTGAATAAATTCGTGAACTTTTTAAATTCTGCGCGAAAACACCATGTCAAATCAAGCACCACGTACATGGGGATTTTATGTCACATCTATTTTTGTGTCGAGATCAATTAATTCACTTTCTGTAATGACTTATTACATGTATGTCTTTTCCTTTATATATTCAATCAACTGGAGAATACATATATATGTAAATAGCAAAATATAAAGAAGCGGCATTTCATTCTTGACTAAAGAATAATACGAACTTAAAAACCCTGGAATTCGAAACAAAATTATAAACCCAACAATATACTCACATGTACGTGTACATGTATAAAATATTTTGATGCTACATTGATATATCATGTTAAAAATTGCCTTTGATTATTAATTGCTACTTTATGAAACTGTACATGTATGAAATAAAACTATCAATTTCAAAAGACCGTTTTTTGTTTTTGTTTTTGTTTTTTGTCTCTTTTTAGATTCTTTTGTATAGGACTGAAAATTCGAAATCAAGCTAAGTAGAATTCGCTGTGATGAAATTTTGCTTGGGAGTGCCGATCCAAAACTAAAATGTTTGTTTAACTCCCCCTTCCCCGAAATTGCTTCCCATGGGTCTGTTTCTAAAAAATCAAAACAGACATCACAGAAGCACTGTTTTACATTCAGAATAAGACCTGTGGCTAATTATTTTAGTGGACTAATGATTTCATTATTATTCCAATACATGTACAACTACAAATTATTACAACGCAGGTTGTGCAGATATGCATGTTGCTTATTTTGTATTTCGTTTCATCCTCTGGCTTTTAAAAGTTATTTTTGAAGTCTGTATTATCGATAATCTATGTTTAATAACATTCTTCAAAGCAGATTACATATAATGCATGTTTACAATTAAAAAAAAAAAATGCGACTGGATGTGCTTTTTCTCTTAACTGTCTTATTTCTAGGGGCTTCTCTGTCTAGTAAGTAGTTTATTCTGGATTTTTGTTCTTGTTACCCTGAGCGGATCGTGAAAATATCATTTTATGTCATTAACCACGCACACATAAATGTCCCTAGTTCCAAGAAGTTCAAAAGATGACTTCTAGACAAATGTTAAAGTGCAACTGCATTGCATAAATACACGCTATACCACGTTTACTTTGTTCATATTTATTCTTTGCGATTTCCAAGAAAAGACTCGCCCCCTTTTGAATTCACCTTTTTCTGTCCCTTTACTGTTTAATTTTGTTTGCCAAGTTAATTTCACTACAGCGTTTCTATTGAATAGTGATCGATATTCCCATTTGACATATATATCACCGGTTTGAAAAGGTTATAAATATTACAAACTGACGATCGATACTAAAACAACACCTCATAAAGCAATGGTAATGCCTGTGCCAAAATTTACTATAGCTAACTTTAGCTAACTGGAAAGCTCAACTCCCAGGAATACGTACATATTTTTGATCGGGATCGAGGTACAAATTAATGCGGGCTTTTCAGATCGTCTGAAGAGAGAAGAAAATGTCTGGGAATAATTCAGGATCAACTTTCCGCGTAGATTTGCTACTACACAGTTTGAAAGAAATACAACAAGGTTTGTTTTACACATGTAAATAGATCACAAGGATTACAAGTTTACACAGAGTTCTTGAAACTTAGTCCACAGAATCTTTGCTGGAGTTGGATATGTCTGCTGGTACACAGGGGCTTGCTCCCGGCGTGTAATAATTATTTATTCAAAAAAAACATATACGTTTAGTATTAACGTATATGATTTTTTTTTTAAATAAATAATTATTACACGCCGGGAGCAAGCCCCTGTGGCTGGTACTGGTCTGTATGTAACGTAACTTTGGTAACGAGAGAGGAGAAAAATGCGCCTGACCAGACAGGAATTCGAACCCGGGTCCCCTGAATCTCCAATCAGGTGCCCTACCAACTGAGCTATCTGGCCACTGGCGATCGAACCCGTCTGACCGCCACATCCTTCTCCTGTACAGCTACATTCATGACATTCCGTGCCATGCCCTGGAAGTGACAGGAAAGACAAGAGGCAGGGTTGATGTCTCAGTGTCTTCAGGGAAGAAGACCTCTAATGAGGGAGGAATGTGGCAGTTAGACGGGTTGAATCGCCTGCGACCAGATAGCTCAGTCGATAGAGCACCAGACTGGAGATTCAGAGGGCCCGGATTTAAATCCCAGTCTGGTCCATCGCATCTTTTCCTCTCCAGTTACATTTCACCAACCTAGCTAAGGCTCTTCCCTGGCAGGTCTTTCACCTGTCACTTCCAGGGCAAAGCATGGCACCAAATAAACAGGAGAATTAGAGAAAATATATGGCTGGACCGGGAACGAACCCAGGACCCCTGCATCACTAGTCAGGTGCTCTACCGTCACTGTCGCTATCCAGGCCAATATCCACAGCCCAAACCATTAGAGATATATTAATTGTCAGTGTCAATAGACTTCTATTTTCATTCTGCATTTCATATAACGGCTTACTCTGATTGAATATCTGACTTCACTTTAAATCAAGCTGTGATCAGTCTACCAGAACAACAGGGACCATTGCCCAAATGGTTATAATAGCAAATGTTGGGATATAACATCCCAATTGGGATATAAAATTACAATGAAAAAAAATGACAATTTTTATGCCCCGTAATCAAAGATTCAAGGGTATATAGTTTTTGCTCTGTCCATCGTCCATCCATCTGTCTGTCTGTCTATCGATATCTGTTTGTCTGCATACATGTAAACTTTAACCTTACCCATAACTTTTGATTGGTTTGAGCTATGGCTATCATATTCCTTGTGACAAGACTTTTCTTTGCCAACATATATGACCTTTTGACCTTGACCGTGGAGTTGGACCCATTTTTGCAAATTTTTTTACCAAACTTTAACCTTGGCCATAACTTTTGAATGGTTGCTGCTAGGGCTTTCGTACTTCACATGTGTATTCCTTGTGATAAGACCTTTCCTTGGGTACAAATATTTTTTACCCTGACCATGGAGTTTGACCCACTTTTAAAAAACGTTAACCATAGCCATAAATTTTGAATGGTTGGAGCTAGGGCTTTCATTTTACACGTGTATTTCTCGTGACAAGACCTTCCCTTGGGTAGCAATAATTTTGACCTCTTGATCTTGACCTTGGAGTTTGACCCACTTTTGAAAAACTTTAACCTTGGCCATAACTTTTGAAGGGTTGGTGCTATTGCTTTCGTATTTTACATATTACGTGTGTATTTCTTGTGACAAGACCTTTTCCTGGGTACCAATATTTTTAATCTCTTGACCTTGAGCTTGGAGTTTTACTTGCATTTGAGAAACTGACATACGGAGGCATCAGTGTTTCACAAACGCATCACTTTCTTTTCTTTTTTTTTAATTTCGTTTAGAACTTTTTTTTTCATATATCTGCATAAATATACATGTAAATAAAATGCAACAATTTTGGTAAGTTTTTCTATTTAAATATTAAGCCTACAGTTTGTGAGATTGATACACAAGAAGTTTTGAATTTACTGAGGGATCAACATTCCAAAAAGTAGAGTTTTACAAAATTGCTAACCAAAAGTTGCTACATTTTATGTATTTTAAGCAGATTAACCATGTTAACAATACTTTTATCCCAAATAAGAATTTGTCAGTTTTTGCACTGTAAATTTATATCCCATTTGGGATATTGTATCCCAAACAGGCAATTTTAACCCATTTAAACAATGGTCCCAACCTGAATAACAGTTAAATATGTTTTAGGAAAGGAGAAAAAAAAAATTGCTGGACCAGGAATCAAACCCCAGACCCCAGCATTATTAGTCAGGTTTTTATAACTGCAGAACTATCCTGGCAGAAATTAAACCATTGTCCAAATGACCCAAATCACTACAAGCTAACTCTAACTTTGAGTTCAATGTTAATATTCATCAACAGCATATATGGATGACACATTTATATAATATATATGCTGATGTATATAAAAATTATAAATGTACATCAAGTGCCAGTGAGTCTAATAGAAATTGACTGTTAGTGACACTGTGACAGTACGTACTTCATTGTTCAGACTGAACATGCGAAATAATTTTGAACATGTCAAACAAAGGAATTGGATTTCAAGAACACTGCTATTAATAATTTTTTTTTTAAGTAGAAAATGAAATGAAGAAAAAAAATTGATCATGTCAACTAATCTAATTAAAATGCATAAGATTTTGCTCCCACAAGAGCTTGTGCTATACCTTCTCCCTCTTATATATGCTTTCATAAACGTAACTTCAAAATACACATACGTGTACTGACATAACTTGAAATGCATTTTAGAAAAGAATTGTCTGGAAAATAAACTTGCTGAGAGACGTAGTAAAAGAAGAGAATTGGAAAATTTATTAGACATAGGTAAGAAAAAAATTCATTGGTTTTATAAGCATGTTTTGAAAAGAAAAGAAATCAACCAACAGCAAATCATCACTGTAAAAGATTTATAGTACCAATTACTGAATTATTTATACTAGCTGTTAATTATCATATTTTTATAAAACTTAAATTTTATGGCAATTAAGAAAGGAGTTCGAATTTCTACAAATTAATTCTGCAGATGCATTCCCTCTGTTATTCATTCTGTTAATGAGCACTATAGGAGCATGTAAATTCTTTTGCATATTTGTCTGTAATGCAACTTTTTTTTTAATAAATATAATGTTGTATGAGGCCACCTTTTAAGGTATGTCACTCGTGAAATTTGTTATATCAAGGATTTTTTGAAAAGTATATTTTAGGTAAGTACTCATATAACACGACTCAAAATCGCAAAGAAAATGGGGGGTCAGTGTGCGTCTTCCTGAGCTATGGTACAATTAAATTGACCTTTTTGCACTTAAATTGTAACTCTTTGGTTAATAACTTTAATCTTTGTCATATTTTATCAGATGTAATTGTGGCAATAAATATAATCTTATTTTACGTAAAATAGTTTGAATGATCTTTATCATTGGACAAATCATGCAAATTAATGTGCATAAATTATTGTGTGACCTTTTTGCACTAAAAGTATCATATTTGGGGTATAAAAAATCTAAATAGGCAATAAAATATTTTCTTGTATCAAACTTTTTATGACTTAAGTGCAGATTGGTTGGAAGTATCGTGTTGTTTAAAATAATGAAAGAAAAAGTTGGGGTCAGTGATGTAAATTTTGAGATATTGGTCAAAATGTGCGATTGCCAGGCAAACAACGGTGTAAAATTTTATCTTGACTTCTCTAATATATCTTCATTTCTTGGCAAAGTCTGTTGAGTGAATGTATAAAATTTATTCTAAAAATATAAATTGGGACATATATTTAATATGCCTAGCATATCATAACGGAAAATATTCTCTAAGTAAAAATATGTGGGGCTAAAGTACCAAGATATTAAATTTGACAAATGTGTAGATTTGAAGAATTTTCTTCTAAATATCCTTCCACCACAAGAAATAGTCCCTCATAAATTTTGCTTCTTTATGAATTTGTGAGCAGTTTTTTCATTGAAAGTTGAATAATTTGCATTGTTTAATTTAAATATGTTATAAAAATTGAATTGTAATAAATAGTTTTGAAATTAAAGGTTCTGACTGAACTTTTCTAAAAAGCTGACGAGTGACATACCTTAAATAATGTTTGTTTACCCTCTCCCAACTCAAAGTAAAAAAAAAATTGGGTCAGTAGGTAGGTTGAGAATTTTTTGTTTCCCCAGAAATTTTTAAAATCAATGCTGAATTTTCAAAATTTGTTATATACGGTTAAAATAGTGGTTGATAGGATGAGAAAATTTCAAAATGAATAAAAAAATTTATTGTTTCCTGGAGGTTAAAAAATGTTTTGAGTCAGGTCATTTTTAGCCAGTCGATCGGGAGAAGGCAAACAATTTTTTTTTTTTTTAAAGATGGTCTGATGCTTATAATCGTAGTACTTGTACAATGTCAGTGATGCAATTAGCTTATTGAAAATAGTTTTGTCTCATAAACAAGCTTTCCAAGATTATATTGTAAGGTCTATACCTTATACATGTACCAGCATATAATTTAAAATCATCATTTGTCATTTGACATACCGGTATATTATAAATGTTTCCCTATACACACTGTAAGTATTTTAGAAATCACTCTTGTAGAGAACAACAAGTTCTCCCAGATGAAAGAAGGACATGAAAAAATGCAAGGTATTGTGATCAGAAACTATACTTGTACCAATGTATTATTTATTCAAAAGATATGAAATCATTCAAATCAGTCAAGTATCAATAATAAATCTTTTTCATTTTCAAACACTAAGTTGACAGCTATAAGCTTTTCTCCTGCAGCATACTCATGTACATGAAATCCTCTAATCTAAAGCAAAATCACGAATACTGTGTAATCGGGTTATTAGGGCCCCACAAGGATTTACGGGTGCCCTATAGTAATCACTCTGTCTGTCTGCCTGTCTGTCTGTCTGTCCGTCTGTTATTCTTCCGTCCACAAATTTTCTGTTTTTTTCTAATAACTTTTTTTTAGGGTTGACCAATTAAGTTCAAATTTGGTATGTTGGTTGAATAGGCAGTAAGACATATTTTGATGCTAAGTTTGGTTCTCTGTGTCATCCAGTTTGGAGCTGGGATGGTGGGATAGATTCCTTAACTTTATATAAAAGTGAATGGGCAAAGAGAGATAACTGCTGAGAATGTTCCTATTATAAACTAGGAAAGGCTGCAATGAGTCTCTTGGGATTAATTAACTTTCCTCTTGAAGAAAATCCAAAGCATTTATCTTTATCTGTCACATTGAGATTAATTAACACCTCTGTCTGCAAATGAAGTTTGTTTTGAAGTTAAGGTCCATTCTGAATGATGTTTACATTCTCTGATATCTGGATTTAAATAATGTTCATATTTTATTTTGGTAAAATACACAATGAGTTATTTATGATTTTATTGAATTCTAAAAACAAGATATAGATAAAGATATCTTTCTTATAATTATTTTATTTTTTTCTTTTTCTTTTTTCTTTCTTTTTTTTTCTGCCTTATGTAAATTCAATAATACTATTTATTTTAACAGGTATTCAGGTAATAACCTCATTCTATCATTACTGAAAAAGTTCTTGTAAACTTAGAAGAAAAGGTTGAGAGAGCAGTATAATTATTCCCCTGGGATTGTTTATCTTGCTGGTCACAGAAAATTTTAGAGGGTTAGGTTTCTGTCACTTTAAGATTAATTAACACCTTTGTCTGCAACTGATATTTGTTTTGAAGTTAAGGTCAAGCCTGGGTGATATTTGCTTTCACTGAAGGCTGGCATCTTAGAAAACACATGCTTCATTCTTCTTTAAATATATATTTAATTGAGTTATTATAAATATGATGTTTTTTTACTGCCTTATGGACAAGGACACTATTTACAGGTTGTTGGATATTTAGCAGTTGCTGTTGCTTATTCTTCGATCTGTATATATTTTTAAATTTTGTAATCAAGTAAAATTCTCATCCCCTAATCTGCACCCTTATATTTCTTCCCCTCGGCGGGGCCCTTGCTGACTGGTCAGATTTCTAGTTTTAGGTTCTTTTTGAAAGATGTCTAGAAAAAGAATGGCTCTGCTCTAATCTTAGATGAATATAAAAATATCTATAATTACTATATACCAAATATTATATGTGACAACTTTTGAAATTTTTCAGTTTAAATCCATCAACAACTTTTAATTTTTGTACTTGAGGAAACATCCCTCATACATACAAAATTAAATAAAAATTGTGTGTGATAAGAAACTAATGGCATGAATATTTGTGAGTAAAAAAGAAAAGTATGAAAATTTGAACATATTACCGCGGTAATAGACAATAAAAGTTGATTTACAATGATACTTTTTTCTGTAATGTAACTAATGTTGACTTTCAGAGACCATGAAAGTTGCACAGCTTAAAGAGGCACAAACACAGTCTTTGGCAAATAGGTAATGGCAGTGTTGTAAAATAATAATGGTATTGTTAAAAATTAAGCATATTTTTTGCAATTTGTGGCAATCCATCTGTACAAATAGAAGAGTGTAATTGCATTATGAAGTATGTACATCAACATCTAAGATAAATTTTACTGTTGATTTTTGAAGAAAAAAAAATCTTATGACATATATGTTACTTTGACAGGATTTCCTCCAATATGTTAATTCTTTTCAATTCTTGTTGTTTTAGGATGGAAGAATCAAATCAGGAAATGAGAGAAAGTATCAAAGATTTGAACAAAAAACTGATGATAGAAAAGGAAAGTCAAACTGAGAGTGTGTAGGTGAATTAAGATTTTTAAAAGTTTTGTATATTTTGTTAACAGTTTGATACAGACATGTATCTATGTGATGAGTTTGATGATAGAATAAAAAATGATTGAATGTATACTGTTAATCACTGATTTTTCATTTGCAGAGAAAACTTTCAAAAGGAATTATCAGACATTGCCAATCACCTGATTAATGCAAGGTCATTTTATGTAAGTTTCAGTCTTGAAAACTGGTATTTTAAAAATCTTGCAACAATGTGTTAATTACCGGTATGTGAAATATGAGATACAGTTGAACTTTGTTATTTCAAACACCAATGTCTCATTTGCTATGGATGTTTCAAAGTGATTTTGAAGTCCTATTATAAACACATATTCCTTTAGTATTTTATCCTTGATACCTCAAATCCTAAGATATCTCAAAGATTTTTATCAGTCCCATGGAGTTCGAGATTACAAAGTTTGACTGTATATTTATTCCTAATTTGCTCTGATGAGCTGTACTGTAGACTTCTGTGGACTAAGCTTTCCTCTTCTTTAAATCTATCATTCATGTACATACGTATATACATTAATACATGTTGTACTATATTCACATTCTCAGAACCAATTTCAACCAAATTTGGTATAAACATCATTGAATAAAGGAAATTTTTATTTTTCAGAATAGAAGTCTGACCCCCCCCCCCCCCCTTCCCAATACACACACCTTTCTAGGGAAATTAATAGGAAAGTACATGTGGATTCTTAAGATCATATGCATTTATTTCTAATTTTGAACAATTGTAGGAGGATTCATCTCTGAACAAAGTTATTGAAGAAGCAGAATTTCACAAGACTGATATACAAAGCAAAGGTAATACAAACTTAAAATGATGGAACAGAATGTAAGGATCAATATTATAACAAGCTTTATAGGTAACAATCCAGATATGAATCTTTTAGCTTCTTTGTCAATCTTTTTTTTTTATGTAATGTAGTTTAGAACAGGTTATCGGTAAAAGATCAAATCAGAATTTTGATTTAAGTTTTTTAAACCAATTTAGTGAAAAACCAATGATCAATCATAATCTGATGTTGATCATGTCTTTGAAAATTTGATTATCAGTTTTAACTGAAAATAGAATGAACAGTAAGTATAAAAGTATGGATATATTCAAAGCAAATGTATATATGTATAAATTATCATTAAAAAAAATTCAAGAAATTCTACGTTTTCATTTTATTGATTTGGGAAGGTGAAAGGCATGTTTGACTTATGTACATTTCATGAAATGCAACCAATCCATTAAAAATTCAAAAAGTCATTTACCGGTCACTTGTACAGTGAACTGACCTTTGATCGCTTTTATGATCTATAGTATGCCCATAAATTTGAAAATGTATATGTCACTACTAGGCAGTATTTATATACCTAAAAGATTGGGGGGGGGGGATTAACTAAACTGTAATCAAGGCTGACCCTCATAAATATAAATGCTGGCAATCAGTAATGAAAGATTAAGCTGTATTTTTTCAAGTGGGAAATTGGGATGTTGAGGTAGCTAGATGAAAGGTAGCAGGTCTATTCAGATTGTTAATTAATTGGATGTACTGAGAGAGATCATGTCAATGATGTTTAAATCTGACACACTTCTAAAAAAAAAAAAAAAGAAAAAAAAAGTCCAGTGGCCAGCTTGTCAATATCCAATTTCCTGGAGAAAGATTCAGACCAAGAACTATCTGTCATACCAATATAGAACAAAACTCTTGGCCTACAAGGGAATGGGGGAGGCCAGTCATTAGCCACAGCAATTAAGATTAAAAGGTGCAGCTGTATTAATTTTGTGTTTAATGTAGTGCCTGGGATATTTTCATAGATTTTGGTGTTGTAAATTTGTCAGTATTGTGCCTGAAAAAAGACAAATGTGCAGGGTTTTCTATACTTAACAATGTTACAGAAGAACTATGAACTATGTGTATGACTGATTAAAATACTATCAGTCTGTTTGAAAGAATGTATTGCAGCAATTTTTTTTAAATATGCAACATTTTTCATCACGAAAACTTAAATTTCATCAATTGCTAATGATCTATGCTTTTAATTGTATTTATTTCCAGTTGTAAATTGTCATCAAGAATATTTAGATCTCCAGCAAAGATTGGAGAATTTGTCACTCCATAACACACCTTGTGGATATAAAGATATTCCCATGGATTTTCGAAAAGAAATATGGTGAGTTACAATTAAGTATTTGTATTAAATGTAAGCGAGAGGCTCGAGTAAGTTTTCCTTATCTCAAGACATTCATTTTTGTGAAGATATAAACTTTTCACATTTTTTGTTTTTCCTCTCTAGAAATGTAAGGTTTTCATTTCTTTTCTTGTGAAAGTTTGTGCCCCCTCCTCAGTTAAAAATGGGTTATTATAAAAAAAAATTCTAGAACCATCAAGCTGGAAACAAACAATTAGGTACATGCAGTTCTGTATAAGCTTCCTTACTACATGTAAGTCAAGTTTTGATTATTCAGATTTGTTCAAATCATGATCAAAGGGACCACGATGGTCTGTATTTGTCTAATTACAGAAGATACTAAATTACAGACCCTTTGTGATTTTACCCAAATATTTATTTCTTATTATGCAAGCTTCCCCATGTAGTGTAAATTCCAGTTTATAAAATATGGCTCAGATGTTTCACATAGGAAAAATCATCTCCATTAAAAAATGTATTTGGTTAAAATATGTGGATTCTGATTAGGAATATCAGAGAGAATAAGTAGATTTAAAGTTAGCAAAAGTATGGCCCTCATATTTAGTTTATGACCACTCTATGGGGTTTTCAGATTTTCAGTGACAGCACTGTGGCTGAAAAGTCTTGTGGCCAGTAAGACTCATCATACAGATACCTTTGAAATAAATTGTGATTTTATAACAACTGAAACTTTAGGTACATGGAATAGAATACACTGTGCTTCAACATAAATTTGCTTCATTCATAAAAAGAGCCTAGCTATGCAAAGTACCGTACCATTATGAAGGGCTGTGCATTTTCAGGGCAATGTTCAAAGAAGAAAATGCTGCTGCAAAGGACCTCTTAAAAAGGAAAAGAGAGAAACTACAAACCATCAAGGAGGAGTTAACAAGCTTGACAACTTGACTTTTATTGAATTTTAATCACCCCCATGATATAACAGAAAGAAATAGTTACTGGCACACATTTGACCATCCTTGACACAGCAAGTAACCCTAGGACTGTTTGGGATGGGACTGATGAGCTAAGAAAATGCTTCCATGCTCATTAAGTTGGGTATTACACATTCATTAACTGATATCAACTATGAGATACAAATACATGTTTACTCTTTTTATTCACATTTAAAATAATTATAGTCAATATGTACATAAACTTCATAAACACTGTTTTGTGCCAAATTTGTTTCTTGTTGATTATTTATACCTGTTAACTTTTGTTACTGTTCATCCTTTTACAACACAATAAATGTTCAGAAAAGTGAAATGAATTGTAGTTTTAAATACTTCTGGCACAAGTTTTGATATTAATATTACAAATCTTGTATCACAGATAATTTGATAAACTCCCTAGCACTGTTTGTCTTTATGATGAAGATTTGGCTTTTCCAAAGCAATCTTGTAGGAGATTCTGATAGTTAATTGTTGATACACTTCCTTTGCCTTGCTGTGTTCCTACCCAGTTGGGGTCAGAGGATGGTTCATATTGCATGGGGGGTACTGGGCAGTCCCTCCAATTCATCTGACTAATGAGGTTCCTGTAAGCCACCTCACCTTTCTCTGAGGCAACAGCCCTGAAGTTAAGAAAAAAGTGTAAATAATTGTTCAGAGTTTTGGATGATTTTATGGATATGTCTCAAAGACAATATATATTTCTTACAATTTTTTTATTGTTTTTTTTTTTATTTTTTGAGAAAATGATGGGAAAACATGGTAAATCCTAATTTACGATGTGACTGTCAATCTGAGAATATTTTTGATGAGTGAATCCATTCTAAATATATATGTTCAAGAATATAGGGTGTAGTAATAATCTAAAGATCAGATTTCAAATACTTTAACATGCAATTCAAATTCAGAAAACTAAAAGCTTGTTTTAGTATTTGATGATTTTTTTCTTTTTTAATTGATCATTAGACTTTTAATTAACAGCCAGAGAGAAAATAGACTTCTTTTGTAAACTATATGAGATATACAAGTATGTTACTACAAGAGAGTTCCTATTAGACTATATTCCTTAAAATACCAATTTTGATCTTCAAATTCCAAGTCAATAATGATCATTGTATGGGAATATTCAATATTCCATTCAATCCTATAAAAGAGTAGATTTTGCAGTGCATTTATGCAATTCTACTTGGTCTAAAAATTATATGAAGCTGCATGTTTTGCATACATGTATCTGCAAAAACAAAGGTAAAGTTAAAAGCTTACATGGACAGTGCAGCTCTCAGAATATCATCAGGGAGGGGAACATTGTGAGCTCTGAAAATGGTCCTGACAACTTCAGCATCCAACATGCCTTGTCTGTAAGATCAATAAAATTGATTAGTTATTATTTGCTTACCAACTGAAGTTCTTAATACTTTTAAAGCTTCATTTAAGGATAACATTTATAAGCAAACGGAGCCTATATATCTTTATTTAGCAAGAGCACTTAAATGATACAGGAATGAGATGTTTGATTTGTGTAAACCAAAAATTATTTTCCCTTCAAGTTGTAAATTTCAGCTGATAATATGCCATTTTGGAAGTTTTCATCAACAAATATGGGCTAATCCCTATAGTCTTCCAAACTTTTATTTTGCTAAAATTAACATACTTGTCTTTGTCATTCTGCATGCAGTCCTCCAACAGTTTTCCAAATCCTTCATAGTTTCTCTTCCTGAGTTGTTCCTGGACAATAGCTACAAGTTTGTTTGAGTCAATAGCATCCTCCTGAGTTCTCTGGCTGTAGTGACGAGCCACGGTCATGATCTCATGGTCACTGATGGTGGGGTCTATTTGACGGAGGAGGGAGACCAACTGGTCATATCCCATACACCCAGAACCATTAGGATCATTTCTCATGAAGAATGAGCGAATCTCATCCTGGTTATTGCCTACTTTGCTGACTAGTCTTTGCAAAATGGCATTAATGTTGGCTCTTGGATACTGAAATCAGGAATGATTTGAAAATGAATATCACATTTTGAGTTACATTCTATGAACTGACTAATTGATTTAAAAAAAACAAACATGATAGTTATTTGAAAATTGTATCAATTTCATTGCACTTATTATTATTTGGCAAGAAAGACAACATAGCAATACGTATAATATCACTATTATGTAAAAATGTTAGTTAACAGTAACTGTTTCTTTTATGACTTACTCCAGAATTCTCCTCCATGTATCTAAATGCATATTCATCAGCATCAATGAGGACAAATTTGTGGCTGTTGAAGTTGACACAAGCACCGACAAACAGATCATCAGATAGATAATACTGGGACATCTCTGTACTGTAGGGTTGCTGGTTAGGCTTCTTAATTCTGGTTCTCTCCAAGAATTTACCACCAATGATTCCTGCCAAAAGGGAGGTAACTTGTGCATTTTCAAAATATTCCAACACCATAAAGTTATATCAATAATGAAATTATTTCTCTTTGTAATATATTTTTAAAAACTTTATGTAAGTAAATGGATGGTCTATTAATTTAATTAAATTTCAGTACCATTGAACCAATCTGTTTGGCATAAATCTCTTCTTTTCTTAGTGTGTAATAATTTAGCAGTAATATTTGCTGGCACTTTCTCATGAATAAATATGAAACTTTTTTTTAAAAAGTTTTCTGTGTATATAATGTATTACCTGAATTTCTGACAGGAGGCTCAAAGACTGAGATGGTATCATCAGACAGGTAATAAGAGATGATGAAGCGCCGTTCCTGGTCAATGGGTTTGGATGTGTCCATACGGGCCAGGAAGCGGAGTACATTGCTGTCAAGCCCACGTCTGTCCTTCTCCATAAACTTAATGAAGTCCCTCTTGGGTGGTTTTGGGAGGAGACCCATGCAAGAGCAGAGTGAGTCCTCTTCACTTCCCCATCCATTGTAGGGAGGGAATTGGCGAGGAGGATTTCCTCCTGTGTTCTTCTTGTATTGGACAGATGAGAAGTCCTCTGAAAATGTATTAAAAGTATTTGGATCCTTTATTTTATTTTCTAAATTAAGACATAGTCGAAGATGTTTACTTTATATACCAAAACACAAATGCATGATTTTCATGTTTTTTTTAATAATGCAACATAATGTTTTAACTTACCAATTCCATACTTAGTGCGATAGTACTCCTTTGTAAATTCATCACAATCACACAGTAAGATTTTCCTTCCCCAAACATTGAGTACAGATCCCAGTGTAAGATCACTGTCTCTGTAGAAGTCTGTGTTCACTGCTCCAGTCTGTAACATTTTATATTAAAAGTTTTAAAGCATTGAGTTTTATTTACATTTATTTATTTGAGATGAAAATGCCTAATAGTTCATATTTGACTTAAAATTTTGTTTTCATAATTTCTATCTAGAGCCAATTATCATACTCATCACTTTACAACTTATGTTTTATGTACCTTTAAGCTATCTAAGATATATCTGCCTCCATGACCAGTTGGACCAAATACATTCAGTACGGTCCTGTCTGTAATTTCTCCTGGTTGTCTGAGTGATTCAATGTTCTTGGGAAGCTTTCCACGTCTAAGGAACATTGGGGCAGCATCTCTTCCAGAGTTGGCAGGAATGACTTCTCGGATTTCAATGGTGTCATCAGCCAAGAAGTAATGGAGCACCAGTTCACGAGGATCACCAAACATGCTGTCTGTGTCATCCCAGTAGCAGAAGAAGCGTAAGACATGACGATCATGGTCCAAGAATTGCTTAAGTGTGTCATGCTTCTCATATGGACGGAGTGGCTGCATGCTTTCATCCATCTGGGAGGAAACACAATGTTAAGTGAGTTTATATATATTTGCACATTTCTTTTCAAAATCTTGATCTTCATTTATGAATGATTTTCATACAAACAAATGTAAATTGATATTAATTCTGGGTTAAACTGGTGAATAATTGCTCTTGTCATTTTCAAAATATTGAAATGCTTTATTTGTCAAGTATTTAAAAATATATCCATAACATACATGTAGTACTTGAACTGGTATTATTAGTTTTATTTTTATGTTTTCAATTTTCTGAGATATCTTTACTTACAGCTTTTCTATATTTGGTGTATGGGTTTTCTGGTTTATTATCGGGTTCATTGACTCTGACTCCCATTTTTCTTAGGAAGTTCTTTGTGAAGTCATCTGCATTGGTGATCTTGAAAACTTTAGAGTAAAGATTAATTTCACAGCCAATATTAAAGTCTTCAGCAGTGTAGTATTCATCATCATGTGGAGCTGGTTTGGGGATTCTGTGTCTTCTAATAAGTGTGCCTGTTGTAAATCAAGAACATGAATTTCATCAGCAAGTATTTAATTTTGATGATTTAACTACAAATATGATAATGAAATTTTCTGAATGAATGTTAATCAATTTACATGTATACATATGAATGTTATTTTTCACAATGTTTTCACAATTTTCTGAAATATATTTCAATTAATTAATCATCAAGTAAGAAAATCATAGATCTGCAAAACTAATTTCATCTGTACATGTCTTTTTCATACACAAATTTTACCTTGTGGTACTCCACTGTTCTTTTCTCTTGGTTCAATGACTTGAATAGAATCATCTTCTAAATAGAAATAGATCTTGCAGTTGCGAACTCTGTACTGTTCTTCGCGTTTCTCGTAAACAGCCTCTTGGAAATATGCATCAAAACAGAGAACTTGTCTGTCAAAGGCCACCCATGCAGGCAAGTTGCTTCCCTCTCCCTTTGGAAAGACTGTGTTTTGTGGTTTTATTTTTTGACCTCTGAGGAGTTCGCCACCTATACCAGGTTTCTCCTCTCCAACCAGCATAGAGACTTCATTTTTGTAGTCAAAATGGTGAGATTTGTGGTATTTTGTTTTACCAAGCTGGAATTTATGGAAATTAATGTACATGACAATATATATTCAAATATATGCATATTTTTTTTTAACATTGTGTATGTTCATTTGATACAGTTTATGTATAAACATGCAGCGTATTCCTTCATTTCAGTTTTGCATTCATCTGTTATCAACACATGCTTTATGCAACAAACACTATACATTTCATAATTTTGGGGGTTTAAAAATCACGCAAGTAATAAAAAATATATGTAAATTTACTTACGCTTTTGTTGAAAGAGTTTCCCGGGAGAAACGGTAATGCCATTGCTTACTTTTCGGTCTATCCCGGTTATGCACTACCACATCAACATTGACTGAAACCAACACAGTAAAGAGTTTACGTGGTTACCAAGGTGCACGACCTAGCAATGTCCTTCCGCATTGAAACATCAAAAATATAGTATGAGATTAAAATTGAATTCATTGCATAAAATTGATTTTTTTGTATAATTTGAATAATAAGAAATTGTACTGAAAACTTTGAAGTTTGCAATCTTTTTATATCATTAAATTCTATAATAAAATGCATGACGTAGGAATTCGCTATAGAACTACTTTTAAAGGGAAGTTACTCAACTATTTCCGGTTTTAAAGAAAGAAAGAAAAAAACATTTCTGATTTCACAAAATTATTGTTGTTTATTGAAAAAAGGTTGATAAAAGAAGATATGTAAAACTAATTTATAGTTGATGATAACCAGTGCTAATGAACAGTTTTATTAACATCATTTGCGTTTTCCCATAGCTTTGACTGTGATTTAATGGTAAGTGTTGCATGAATTTTAGAGGAAATTCGAAAATAATGTCGTTCATGTTTCAGTATATTGTAAAAAAAAAATATTTTGGCAATATTTTTCTACCAGTAAAAATAATGACAAGGTAAAGAAAAAAGTATATACACACAATTCAATTCAAATATTTAAACATATAGTTTAGCATATTTGATAAAGTGATTACATCTGACTCGTATTTCAGATAATTTTCATTTGTTTACAGGCGTTTTAAGCAGGACCGGTACTAGCTAAAATAATCTAACTTTGTCTCAGGACAAGCTCTCACGACTAAACTTGGTCCATAGGACAATATCATTTTAACGATAGAACGTTGTATGTAATCTGGTACAATCACTACATTTAGCCACATAGCTTGAATTACCTATATATACATAGCTTTATTTGGCAACTTGAAGAAGCTTTATTTTGCTACTAAATAATACTTTTTTTCATAAATTAGAATTTTTTTTAGATTCTTAAAAAAATTGCACTCAGGTGCAATGATTGTTTCCAACTTTGAACTGTTCTGAAAATGAGGCATGAAAAAAAAATCGCTTTCCAAAATGTGCCTCTTTCAGAGCAATTCTGCAAGTTTTGGGGATTTGTGTAACTAAACAGTTATGAAATTATGAATGTTATGAATGAAATGACAAAGAAGACCATTCTGGTTAACTTTATAATTGATTGGTTATGATTCAGCACAATGTGAAGAAATCAAACTTATGTATTCATGCCGCACCACACACAGGGTGGTGTAGAGTTACTCAAAGGAAACACATCTTTTGCTTAAAAGTGTTTCAGAAGCAGCAATGTTTATCTTTATAGGATTTGCTTTTTCAAAAGTCCATAGTATAAGTATTATATTCACACATTGCAAATTTTTGTCTATTTTAAATAGAATGCAAACTTATGAAAACTTGCATTATTATAGCTAAATCAAGCAACTTCTGGAAGCTACATGTAAATAAAGCTATGCAGATAATTCAAGCTATGTAGCTACATTACAGTTTGTCTATTCTCTGTTCTTTGCTATTTCCTTGTCACATCCCATTCTTGTACTGTTTTCTAGTCAAAATTCGAGATTGGGTTTCTTATCCCTCACGATGGCCAATATAGTGATCTTCTAAATATGTTTTCTCCATTCTAATACCATTCCATCTACTTGACTATTTCTCTACACCATATAAGAAAGTAATGCAGCTATTTCAGTTCGAATGGTAATGTTTTAATTTGGTTTGGATTTTATTAAAGGATTTATCTCAGTTGATATTTAGTAGGAAATGTTAGCTATGCTCAGCAAAATGCATAAAGACTGAAAAGAGTAAATCAGTTATTACATGGAAATTCAATTTAATTTTAGGAGAAAATTAGCAGTCCAGATGATCCCCCAAGTACACAGGAGCAGGAGAGCCTATTGGATTCACAAACTCAGTATGAATCACCCATTGAAGACAAGTTTGTGGATAAAGAAAGGGCAGTTAATCTTCTACAGGGATTTTCTAAACTTTACCAAGAAAAAGAGTTTGTTGATGTGACACTTTGTGTAGATGAAGCAGAATTCCCATGTCATAAAAATGTTCTTGCTATATCAAGTCCCTTCTTCATGGCCATGTTCTCAACAAATATGGCAGAAAGCCAACAAAACAAAATCACATTGAAGGAGCTGGATCCATTGACAATGGGTCTAGTCCTGGACTATATTTACACTGGCCAAGTCAAGCTCTCTGAGGAAACAGTACAACATCTATTGTCAGCATCGAACAGATTTCAGTTGCTTTCATTGAGAAGTGGCTGTGCAGAATTTATGATGAATCACATCACAGTTTCAAACTGTATTGGTGTTTACTTCTTTGCAAAAGCTCATGAATGCACTGACTTGGCCACAAAAGCCAAAGAAATTGTAAACAATCAATTTGCAGTTCTGTGTAAACAACAGGAATTTCTGTCGTTACCTTCGGACAAGTTAGTGGAGATTATAAGTGATGATGACATTAATGTGACCAATGAGGAAACTGTTTATGAAGCCTGCATGGAATGGCTGTTGACAGACAAAGAGAATAGAATGGCACATCTAATGGAAATAATGAATTGTGTAAGATTTGCAAACATTAGCTCTTATTATTTTTGTGATAGAATTGACAGAAGCAAAACACTGAAAGATTGTGAATCTCTAAGGAAAGTTCTGGACACTGTAAGATATTTTCATATGCTACGCAACAGACAACATGAAATGGACCTGAATCTTATGCCTCGAAGGGGAATGGTATACGAGACAGGTGTGATGATCGTAGCCAATCCTTACACAGAGGAACAAATGAAAAAGTTCAATAGCATGGAGATGCTGTTACCAAAGACTGGAGAAGTCATCACGATTTGTAAATTACCACAAAGTTTATATACTCCAGGTTTGTAATCTTGTATTCTATGAATTAAATTGCTCCTTTTTATACAGGTACATGAAAAATTAAAAAGAATACACAGTTTTGCCTCATTTAGATTGATCTTTATGATCTATTATAACTGGTTAAACATTTTCTAGTAGTTATTCTGTATATATGTTTATTGAAATTTTTTCACTCCATTTCAGGGTGTGCCATTACTGGGGATAACCAAATTTACTTGGCAGGGGGATCTATTCGTAAGCTGAATTACCGAGGATCAGTGACCACTGAAGGGGTGTCCAGTAACTTCTATGTTTTTGATCAGATAGAGAAGAGCTGGACACCAAAAGCCAAAATGCACATGTCCCGTTCACAGTTTTCTTTAGTTATAGTGGATGGGTATTTAATATTTTTCTTTTTGATTGAGTATGCATGGTTAATTGATTTTTAGGTCACCTGGGAGACTTCAAACTGTTTGCATGATTATGATAAACAGTTATATACCAAATTTTATGTCACTTAAAAATTCATTAGGAAAATCATCTCTTGGAAATCTTCTCAACTCACAAGCATACAGCATGTAAAATGTTTTTGATTATAACATGTTGTAATGAGTATCCTACCAAAATTGTGAAATTGATGTCTTGTGAGTTGAGGGTGAAGCCTACAGTTAAATTAATATGGTCTGATGTTGCAAAATTCATGATGCTCAGGTCACTGGGCCTCTCAAAGATACACAGCCATCCATTCACAACATAAAAGATCCCCCACCCCCACCCCAATGCATTTGTTATATACATGTATCACTGGGCATGGGTATATTATTTTTTAGTAGTTAAAATTTCTTGATCAGATTAGGAACTGTAAAAGCCTTAGATGTGATATTTTGAAGAAGAAAAGTGTTTGATACAAGACAGCCTAAATGTGCAGTTTAGACTCTCAAAAATAATAATATTTTTAGTTCTACTGGTCAGAGACCAGAATAGCTTATGCATTAGTGAGGTATCTGTCAATCTTTATTGTAAACAATTTTTCAAAATGCTACACTGCCTACACTTTCGGTTCAATTTCAAGAAGACTTGGTACACATGTAGACTATACTAGAATACCGGTACACAGTTTTATTCAATGGTTTTTAATTTTGACAAACAATGTTGCCATGGTTACTAAAAATAGAAATTTCTTTGAAATTCTTTGAAAATGCAATTGCTCCTAAAGTTTTGTACTGATTAGACATTTTGTACAATAAGACTTTACTAAGATGCATCTTTCTTTATTATAAATATACATCAACAGAGCTACAGTCTCACTAGAGACTTCTGTTTGTTCAGATATTCAAAGTTTATTGATTTCAAATTTCAGAATAAATCCATTCAATTGACAGGTATGCTTTTGCTATTGGTGGACAGGATGGATCAGAAATTTTGAGTACAGTTGAGCGGTATGATCCACATACCAATGCCTGGATACTGGTGGCGCCTTTAGCAATTCCTCTGAGGTTTATGACCAGCATAAGTTACAGAGGCAAACTCTATGTGTTTGGAGGGGAGACCACTGACAAAATCAGTAAAACAGCATATAGGTACAGGCATACATTTTAGAGTGTTACGATGCAAAATGATAAACTTTTTGGCAAGTACATGCACACTGCACAAAGTTTCTGTGCTTACCATGCCTCTATGATTTAATTCATTTTGTTTTCACCTCAAGCTATGGAAGATTAATTATTTTTGTTAATTTATTTTTTATAATTTTGGTAAATGTTTTAGATAGAATTCTGCCAGTACATAATATGTAATATGTTAACACTAAATCAATTAATTCAAATACTAGAATTCAGTGAATATACATGTTTAAATATTGTAGGTATGATCCAGCTGATGATTCCTGGGTAGAGTTACCTCCCATGTCTACATCCAGAGTGTTGGCTGGCTGTGTGGTTCATAAAGACAAGATATATGTCATTGGTCAGTAATAAAGGAAAAGCCGAATTTACAATGTATTTTACAATTATATAACAATTATATTACAATTTATGAACAGATTAAAAGTTTTCAAAACAGTGTATGAAACTAATCAAAAGTCTCTCTAGCAGTGAAGTCCAGTATTTTGAAAATAGTAATGTACATACATGTTAAAAAAAAAAAAAAATCCTTTAGATTGTGTCAGCTCTGGAGAAAACTTTTACTGTTGTACTTGCTGGCTGAATGGAATTTTCTATCCTCACAAATGAAAATGCAAATGATTTTTAATTAACACATGAGAAACTAGAAGTAAAGCATTGACGATTTTTTTTTTTGTTTTGTTTTGTTTTGTTTTTTCTTTTTTTTTTTTTTTGTTTATCAGTAGAATAAAAATTCTGATTGAAAGGTTAAATTGTTTGAGTGATAATGTATTTTTTTTTTCTTATCGGAAAAAAAATCTTGTTTCTTATGTAGAATGGAGCTGTGAAATGTTTCTATATTTTTAATGCACAGGAGGAAATTCAGAATTAAGTGACAAGTGGAAGAAAGAGTTTCTCCCTGAACACTGTGTAAGTTCAGTGGAAGTGTTTGATCCAGCTACAGATACTTGGAGTGAGGGACCAGAGCTTCCTAATGCCCTGTGTGGAGCAGGTAGATAAACTCATAAGTTAATGATATCCTTATAGTTTGTTTTTTTTGTGTGTGTGTTTTTTTTAATTATTTTTTTTTTAATGAAAAGTTTTAACAACCTAAATTCAGTGTGTTTCTCTCTCTGTTCATAAATTTCAAGAAAATTTTCGTCTTTATCTCCCTTGGTTCATTTTTTGGTCTTCAGCAGTTTCAAAGTTTAAGAGAATAAATAATAAATCATTTTACACATAAATGATGGATTATTTTATTGATATAAATATAAATATATTTTTAATAAAAATATCAGATGAGGTGAAAGGTCAAATAAAAAGTTACTTTTATAGAGGTAGGCATTGTGTTTCACAATAGTTGTATACCAAATTATTTAATCATTTTAATCTTATTTATGAGAATATTATAATGTAATTGAATATAAGCCATATATAAAGGGTAACATCCTGAAACATTGATATACTGTGAAATCACTGGGGGAGGGGGGGGGGGGGATTTTTGTTGTGTGATGAGATCTATAAATTCATGTCCTCTATGAAATGGTAAGATTTAAACTCTTTGCATTTTTTTCTCAATATTACACAATAAAATCTGCACAAACCTATATATTTTCTTCAAACCACAAAAAAAGTGAATTTACAGTATTTCAAGATTGCATAATTTGTACACTACTCTCATTTTCAATAAAGTACTACTAAAATAAGTAATCATGAACATGTACCATTTTTGTGAACAGTAAAACAAGAAATTGAAGTAAAGAAATCTTTATTTTATATACAAATTTATTTTTAGGGATCGTGAAATACAGCAATACAATTTTAATCGTGGGTGGAGAAGATGACAAGAGTTGGATGGCAGGGCTGTGTTGGTTAAAGGAGGAAAATGGCAAACAGACATGGGTGGAGGGGCAGGAGCTACCTACAGTGATGAGCACCTTTGGTTGTGTAGTGGCCAATATTCAGCATGATGTGTACAAACAGCAAACATAGGTTAACAGGGGACAGTATTTAATTGTGATTTTATTTAATCAAAATATGTTATCTACTGAAAAACAGTAGTAAAACAAGGTGTTTTCATTTATGTTTGTGGAGAATTTTACTGTGATATTCTAATCAGCATTATCAGTTTTCTTTTGCATTCTAAGTGTACCAAGTATGCTTATGGTGTAAATGTAGAGCCAATAAATAGTTTTTTTATTTATTGCTTTGTTTTTTTTTTTTTTTTTTTTTTTTTTTTTTTTTTTTTATGTACCTATATAGTTTTGATTATCAGAAATCTGAATCTTCTTTATTCTCATATTTGGTCATTTTAAGTGTTAATTGATGCTATTAGGTGTCAGGTTAGAGGTTAGAACTAAAAGATTAAAACAGTCTATACTCTAAATCAGTTGCTTTACAATCAAATTTCTAATAGTGAGAAGTAAATTTGTGATGGATGAGCTTTATTACATGTATCCTTTTAATTGGAGGGAGGGGAATAACTTAATGACCTTTGATGTAAGCAAAATAAGAGTCTTTGGATATAGGCTCAAATGTAATATTACACTTTTAAGAAAGGAATACTGAAACATGTAGAGGTATTCTGAGGTTCTAAAAGAAACAGAATTGTCTAGAAAAGGAGATGCATGCTCTGTGAAAATTTAGAAAGTTGGTACCTATCTTGTGTATTCTACACAATGTTGTTAGACAGTGTTCTATTTACAGATTAATGGTTTAATAATGCTAAATGTTCTCAACTGAGCAACCTGCATATTAAAAGGGCAAGTAATGAAAATATATTCTTGTGATAATCTCATCTTTGCTAGCCAAGTGTTTCCGTTCCACTACTCTCATTAGAAACCTAGTAGCAGATCTGAATCCCCTGGCTTGTGAAGATGGTGATAATCTGTGTCCAGTATCACCATGATACCAGTATATGTTGCAAGTGATATTTCTGACATTGACGGGATATTTATAGCACTCTACATATAACATACATGTACTTGCCTTTATCTTTGTGAACCAATGTTGTTGTCGTTTTTTAAATAAGAGCTTGCAAAGATGCCTAGCATACTCATGGAAAATTGTGTCCAATTCACAAGAATGATCACTGCAAAAACTTTTGACTGTTGAATTATATTAATTAAACAAATTTGGATAGGATTTATTTCATAGCATTACTTGAAGGTTTGATAATAAGACACTTTCTCAGTAATGGAATAAGAAATGAACATACATGTATATTTATGTCAAATGGTCTGTTTTAAAACTGAAGTTAGTATAATCTTAAACTTAGACGTTCATAGAAAATTTGCCCTCCTGTGCAGGCAGTTACTGCTTGCATGTTTGTATTATTATGTGCCTTCTGCTAAGCGATAGGAAATCTTCCATTTTCTTTGCTCAGGTCTTTGAAGCAAAGACAGTTTGGAAGGTCACACTTGCCTTAGTTAGAAGTTAGGGTGTGAGTATATGTTAAAAACCTGAATCAAGGCCTTGTGGCAAGGTTAAGGTTGTTTGGGGGGAAATGTAAATAAAGTTCGTTGTCGCTTCTGGGCGATATCTGTTGATATAGATGTACACGTATAATGTACTTGACATACAGACTGTTTATGCAATGCGGGTGCATCTTAATTTCTACTGAAATCTGTTCTGTTATTATAAGGATTACAGAGGTTATTTTAATCATGTATCTACGCGTTAGAGAAAGCCATAGTGCAATTTTGAATAAAACATTTACTAACACCTTCACCACTTTAAGTCAGAAAAGTAAAATTAAATAGATTTGATCAATGTGAAAATCTGGGTAACTTAATTTTGAATTATCAATTGGGTTCTTCAGTTTTACGGTTTCAGTTATATGTATTTCATAGGCATATGCGAATTCAGAGAAAAGATTGAAATAACATTATATACTAGTAAATGGCCCTTATATAAATTGGTATCAAAAGAAAAACAATCCAGTGCTTGAATTTGTCTTGTCCTTATATATTCTGATGGAAAATCCCACCCTCCTTTCGAAAGTTTTTATCGGTCTGATAAGAGTACATTTAGTACTACCTCTTTCGGTCAGTGTCCGAAAAGAACGGCCTACGTACACTGAAATAAAAAGGGTCTGCTTCATGAATTTAGGATTTATGAACTTAAAAAACGAATAGTCCAGAAAAAAATATTTCTTTATTTTCTGTGAAATATGATTAAATGGGGTCGTTTGTCCGAGTTGCTGAACTTCTGGACGATTCGGTACAAGTTGGACTACATGACGCAACTGAATTCAGTACTGAAACACCGCTTTCATATCCTGGCTATCCCAAGTCTACCGACTGAAGAATTGCACAACCAGAGTTGAAATTAACTAACTTCCTTACCCATCCTTGATTGGCTGCTGATTTCACATTAATCGGAACACTTTTTACTATATAAAGTTTACACATGTCATATATGAGCCTATATTTGTTTTGATTACACTATCGGGTAATAATATTGACACAGTCAAAACGTTTTCAATAGTGACTAGTAAAAATGACAAATTGCAAGGTTTATTCCTTAAGTGAAAAGGCTTGCACATCTAAAAAGTATCGAAAGAAAGCTGGAACTAAAATTGCTGTTATATTGCTTTTTATGATGGTCTTTGGAGTTTGTAGTTGCTTGCTTGTCATTTATATTAAGATGATGGACGAAGTGCAACACGTCATGGAAAAAGTGAATAATTTGAGCAGAATCTTAAGTTCATCAAAAATTTTCAACTGGAATATCACGGTTTGTTCTTGTTCTATATTTTGAAAATTTCAAACTTTATTTCGAGTTATTTATTTATTTGCAATATGCATTCAAATACACTGCCTCTTACACATTTCTATTGTAGAGTATAGACCAAAAATCAGTCATAGATCTTGAAAGAATGCAAGACAAAATTGCTGGAAATAGAAGAAATTTTCTGACCAATGGTATGGTAGCTTCAGTAATAATTATTTACGTTTTTGCTACATTTCTCCTCTGATAGCATAAAATTGTTTGCTGGAGACCGTCATTTATTCATAATTTGAAATGGCTTCCTATAATATTCATAGACTATTATTAGACTTAAACTTGTTGCAGAAAGATACAAGCTTTATGTTAAAATACAATGAAAAAGATTATTTACTTCTTTTATATATATATATATATATATATATATATATATATATATATATATATATATATATATATATATATATATAAACGAACAACGAAAATAATCGTTCTGTTCTTGCATTTCAGAAAACAAAGGGATGAAAAGATTTTTGTCTGGAAGCCCAAGTACTTTTTTCTTTTTTTATTCTGCATCAAGTTGATTTTCAATAAGTGTTTATAAAAACTCTCACGATTTTTTTTTTTTTTTTTTTTTTTTTTTTTTTTTGATAATGAAGTGATAACACAAATAGTTTTATTTGATTCTTTCAGGTCTGGAATTATTCAATGATGTAAGTTTAATTATTATGCTGTTATTGAAACTGATAATCATATTTAATCCGAAAAAAAATATGTGATTAAAATTCATTGCTAATGTATTTTTACCGTTTCCCCTTCTGTTTTAGGCTAATTCAGGAGTGACTGCAGTTCATTATGTGCCACACGAGTATCACGACATTTATCAGAAGCAAGGAATAACATGCAAAGGTTGGTTCAGTGTGAAAGCTTCTCATGATGAAGATTAAATGTTACGTAACAACAAATCAGAAGCAAATTTAACTATCAAAGTAGCTTCTTAAATAACTGCATGAGTTAATTATTGAACCATACTGGTAGTAATATCCAATGTGATTTTTTTTAAAAAAAATTATTAACTTCTTTTTTTCCAGGTACCTGCTGTTTCGTCTGGTCAGGAACTTTCTGCGCGAACCAAACATTTATGATAAATGGTTAGCTTATTAAATTACATCTTTGTTGTTGCAATAAATGATAATTTCCTTTGTCTCCATTTGTTATGTAGAATTCACATACTAAGTACTCCATCCACATACTCTTTGTAGATCCTCTTCATGGAGTCAAATTCTTCAAACCTTCACCTTGGATGAAGTCACAGCATATTGAGGAAGTTGAACCTCTTTCACAAAGCCAAGCTGACACAAGTTCCTTCACAGTGACTAAGTCTGGTCTACATCTTTTGTATCTCAATGTAAGATTACAATTCATCTTGTATTTTATTGTAAGATTACAAGTTTCTCTTTAATCTCATTGCAAACTTGCAGTTTCTCCCGAATCTCATTGTAAGCAAGCAGTTTCATATTTCAATGTAAGGTTACAGTTTCTCTTCCCTCTTAATACAAGCGCACATTATCTCTTTCATCTCATCGATATTGTAAGGTAGCGTTTCTCTTGTATCTCAACGCAAGCTTACGGTTTTTCTTGTATCAATGTGCATTAAGATTCTGCATCCTCCAACCTTGTAATTTGTGACAACTTCCATAGCCCCGTGGCGTAGTTATTTCTGTATCAAACATTATTCTTCTCTGTTGATGTTGATTTATTTAAAGCCCCGTTTTCCAGTTGGAAAGTCTATCCTAGTGTTCGATAAGTCGGACATTTTTATCTTAATGTAATTAAACAACTGATAAGCAGTTAGAATGATAAGTACATATCATTGCAATTTAAAATGTTTCTAGGAAAAAGGATAAGTGATAAGTTTATAATGAATAATCCTCTTGCAAAAATAATCAGGTATTGCATATCCCTATCTCCTCATGCAATTCCGCACATTTTGTCAGCCTTCATGGCTTAAGTTAGCTGATGTTTTTTGTTTGTTTTATTGTGTGCAGTTTATTATTAAAATATCAGAACATTTACATTGTGTAACTAGATTACCTAGCTAGAATTAATTTTCTACGCTCAGCTTTATCTCTTGAAGGTTTTGACACTTTTACCTTGATCAGTAAGTATATAGAAAGTGGATATGAAGGATAACGAATCGTATACATACAACATTATCTGTCAGCAGATAAAAGAATCATCCACTGGCCTAAACCCCAGTCCACATACTAATGTTTACATTTGCTGTTTTTCTACTAAGCAAACTGTGAAATTGATTTGAATGCCTTTTTTGTGTATACTCACGCGTAGAAATATGCACGGAGAAACTCGCGCTAAAGTGACGTTACAATGAGCTACAGAGACGTTAATAAAAATGTAACGATATAGGGCAGCGAATAATTCAAAATTGAGTATATTTTTGGTGCTTTTGAACATGTAAAATGTTAATATAAGGATTTTTTTTTAAGTTTAGTGTGAATTATTGGTGTGTAAATCACACAGACTTGCACGTAGGCATATTTTTCATGAAGCGCTAGCGCGTTTCATGAAATATGCCTACGTGACAAGTCTGTGTGATTTACACACCAATAACTCACACAAAACTTAAAAACATTCCTTAAGTGGTAGTGTGGACTATTTTTTAATGTACTTTTTGCCACCTTCAATTTTCTGGTCTTTGCATTTATTATCATATACCTGTACTTATTAGCAGGTGTTTCATGTATAACTTCTATGTTCTAGCGTTTCCTCTACAATCTCTTTTTCCCATTCCATAAACCTCCATCTTTTACATCTGATACAGTATTAAACTGTTCTGTCGTATATATGCTTCAGGTTTTGATCCAGGCCACTAAATCATCACACGACATAGCGATCTACATCGACAGCAGTCGAAAGCTGGACTGCCGAGAAAGCCTCGACTACGTTAGATCTATCCCCTCCAATCCTTTTATGTACTCCAAAGGAAAAACCTGTAGTGTGTCTGGTGTCTTCTTCATACAGCAGGGTAGTCAGCTCTCTATCAGATTCCTGACAGCCAATACAGCAGTCATACTTAAACCTGAAAACACAAACTTTGGAGCAATATTGCTTAAAACGTGACAAATATGTAGATGACGTTAAAAACTTAAACAATAAAAAAGATCACTGCTAACATCCTTTACTAAAGTATATACAATTTAGAAGAAGCTGGTTTCTAGAAGAGTGACGTTGTTGCCATTGTTTTCAAGTGGCAACCAGTATGGTCACTCAACAGTGGTCAATGCTTGTTATAAAACACAAAATCATGCTGTTTTTCCGAAGTTTGCACAGTCCTTGTTTAACATAAATAGTCTTGGTTAAATGTAAGTTTATCCACGAAAACTTCCACATCTAAAACATTTAACTCTCACTGGATCATTGTCCAGAATGCCCTGTCCTCAATTTTAAATACATCTACGGATATGTAAATGGATATTGTTAATTAAAGCAATAAGAGCTGCATTTTTGTGAATTTTATTTTGTTGTTGAAATGAGCTGATATGATAAATCTGTATGTAATTAAATCCTTTATGATCAATTAGACTGATGTAAAGTATTATTTTTTTTTTTTCAGAAGAAAGACTTCTATACAATGGAATGTATAGTTTTATATAAGAAATCAATATTGTACAGGACGACAATAATGTAATTTTGCTTCAATCAAAGCATATAAATAGCTCTTCCATCGCAAATATAAACAATAGAGGTTTATAAACCTTCTTTTTTCTGTCATTTAAATAGTTAATTACAATATTGCAACAAAGAATTTACAACATCGAAGTTGCAGCTCATATTGTTTTAAACATCTATGCAAGTTGTGAAAAACTTTATTTTGGTGTTCTGTAATAATGGAATAATACATTCAAATTTCGTTTGAAATGCACCAATGAATCACGTGTCATATTTACGTAGTAGAGACATGTAAAAAATAAATTGAACACATGCACTTAAGCCCTCTGTTTTTATCAAATATGTAAATATTATTATCATGGCCACAGATAAATTTCCCCCAAGGCCATCCAGTTAATTGTCATTAAATTTAAGAAGAATTGACGCGAACTCAATACCTGTCCCATTTAAATATGCATAATAATGTAGCGTAAAATATATAGGTATTATGCTCAACAGGGTCACCTGCTAGAATTCCACGAATTGGGTTCAACTTTCTTGTTACAGCACAGGAAGTAACGCTTTTAGACTTCTTCCCGGGAAAAATAGAAGTTGCTGCAATCAGAAACATGTGCAAAGGAATAACTCTCAAAAGCAAATAATCCTGGAAATGTTACCTTTTTACTGCAAATTTTAAAAATACTGTTGCAATTTTAAAATGTCTGAACCGAAAAGGAAAGTAGACATGAACTTTTCTTTATCTGCATCTTCCGTTGCGACGCACGTGTTGTTGGTCGTTGCATTTCTGTACTTCCTTTGGTCTGCCTACGAAATTTCAACTTTGAAGAGTGAAGTAAAGGAGCTCTCCAAAATCGTGGCATCTATATCTTTTCCTGCATACAAAGACAATGAAAAAGTAAGTACATTGTAAATCACTTGGAAATTTAATTTCAAATTAATTAAATTAATTTAGAATAAAGTGCTGTTTCTAGAAATGTTAAGTTGCAAGGATATCGTTGCTGACCATTCTTTGTATATTGCATTTCTAAAATTCTTACGGTGTCATCTTTGATCCCAGTCCTTTGTTTGATCAGTGATGCAAATTTAAAAAAAATAGAAATATAGAAATTTTTTAACTTTAGGACTCCATAGAATCAGTTGTAGCTGTGAAACAATTTGTTAGTGTTTCAGAAGAAGTGAAAAGACTAAGAAGAAGTGCCGACAAAAGTAGGTGTTGTATAAGGATTGACGACTTAGTTACAGAGTTGATTTTTATTTTATTTATTATTATCATTTTATTTTTAAGTATACTTCTATGTGTAATAAGAAATTTTATTTAAGCTGAAGATCAGTAATTATAAGCAATGAAATCCTGACGAAACAGTTACAGGATACTAAGGAAAAGTGTCAAAGCATAGTGTTTGAAAGAGTTATGGAACTTAAAATACTCTAGCTCATGCTATGAACGTATGCCATACGATTATGTTTCTAATGTTTTTTTTTTAAGAGAAAACCCAAAAGAAGAAACCTAGAAGAAACAAAAGAAGAAATCGCAGAAGATGCAAATGTCCACCAGGTGCCCCTGGTCCCCGAGGAGAAAAAGGCAGGTTGACAAAGTATTAAGAAAAAATCTACAACATTTCTATTTTAAAAATTGAGGATTATGTTTATATTTAAACGTCCCATTAGAGAATTTTTCACTCATAAAATTAAATGCTGAAAAGTACCTGGAAGTAATTAACTAGTACTTTAACCCAAAGAACTAATATATAAAGTGTTCACGTTCCATTCTCTTTCAGGATTTCCTGGCATTCAAGGTCCTCCTGTAAGTTAATGTGATTTGTTAGTACAGTCTTAGTATAAACATCTCAAATGAAAAAAGCTTTGGCAAGTTCAAATATAGCAACAACTTAAGAATAAAATATTCGTAAAATGCATGTTAAAATTTTATCAGTCTGAATGCACTGCCAGTTTTCTGATACATTTATTGTTGACATTATTATGGATATTAATTTAAAAGTAACTTCTAAAATGCTTCAGTCTAAAAATTCAATCTGATCTGGAGTTAACTTCTTCGTGTAATGACAAAATTTAATCTCTCAAGTATGATTTCACCTTAGCAAAGAAGACAAATAAAATTTACTGATTAAAGTTTGTTTGGCGATATAGCATCCATCTATCAGAATTTCTAGTCCACCCATAGGTAGCAGTATTAAATAGTTGTATTATCATTAGTCCATGTTCACTAAAACATGCTCCAAAGAAAAGATTTTTTGAAGTTTATCAAATTTCTTCCTTCAGGGAAATTTAAAAGGTGCCCATTTTATTACCAGTCCACCGAGTTTAAGAGGTAGGTATGTTGCATATGGAAAATAGCATCAGATGTTATGCCATGTAGATTTATGATGACTTAGACAGAAGTAAGGGAGAGAATGTAATTCAAGTAGGATTAAATATAGTTGTTTGTTTATATACCCATTATATATTTTGCATCTGAAAGTTTTAACTACTTGAATCGGAAATCATGAAACAAGTATTTCATCTCCTCTGCAGTTATACAAATCATAATTGAAACTTCTAGAGAAGTGCTTGACGTCCATTAACTTGGCATATACTATTTTCAGTAATATTTAAGGCAACATGTACCTTTTTTATTTAATTTCTTTCTTTTTTTTCATTTGTTATATTATAGATTGTGTAGTTACTATAGAAGACTTCTATTGCCCTTCAAACAAAACATTTTGGAGTCGAGGTAATTATTCACACACTTTCAATACATTTCACATTTGCAGTATTGACATTTGTATCGGGCGTATATAGTAATACTTTCTTGGTTTCGAATTAATAAAAAAAATTATTCACAACTCAAAGATGTACCCATGGTTAATACTTATTATGTGTAACAAGGTTCTGGGATCTTTTTTATATGGGCATATATAAATAAACATGGATTGATTTTTTAAAAGGTATTTATAAAGGTTAACGAGCAAATTAAAGCTCTAGATTTAGAGTTGGATCTTGTAAAATTATTTTGTTTAATTTCATATTTACAGAGAAATATAAAGCTATTCCATATTTTCAAGAAGCTGACTGGATGAAAAATGAATATCAAAACACCATACTGGTGCTTAATACGGACAGACACGAATCATTTGAAGTACTTCAGTCAGGACTTTATCTTTTGTATGCCCAGGTAATTGTATATGCTATTATTGTTATATGTTTGTCATAAAAAAAACTGTATGCTAGTATATTTTTTTCTCCTTATGGTCTTGTTTGAACTAATCAATTTGTGTCCATCGACCGACTGTGCCTTGATTTGTTAGATAAAATGTCATGTGAAATCTCTTCTTAATTGAATTATTTAACTGTTTTCAACCATGTACATAATTGGATGCTAAGAATTGTTGACTAGAAGAATACCGATTTGTCATAACGAAGTATCAAATCTGATATCAAATGGACACAAAATTATCTTAATTGACAGCTTTCCAATAGCATGTATAGAACTATATTCAGATTGGCTCAATTCAGGAAATAAGTGGAATGGAGCCTTAATTTCATATAAGGATATATGAAGGAAATATCTTTTAAAGATAATTATCAAATCATTCATGGTTTTACAAAAAGTATATACGTACGAAATTCTTTTGAAAGATTTTTATTTTAAATTCTTTTATTTGAAAAATTTATATAATATATTAATGCTCATGCAAATTCAGGTTTTCTCCAAGCATTAAACTTAGTAAAATACACAGCTACACATATATAGAAGTATTCTCATGTTGTTTCAAGTCGGTCCTTGCGAAGGATGACCATTAGAATGATCAAATTTTAGATGCAACATATAGGGATTAAAAATTAGTGAAATTCAATTTTCAAAGCAATTCAGACGAGGCATAACAGGCAATACTCTTCTTAAAACCCTTTTATCGAATACAGGAATGAAAAATATTAAGTTGCTTGATGTTTGTTTTTTCTGCCATTGAAAACAAGCATTCACATTGAATTGATCTGAGGTAAATTGTTCATTTGTTTCTATTGGTAGATAGAGAAATTTACGAAGGATACTAGAGAATTCTTCGGAATTTTTGTTTCGAACAGAAGAATCTTTCACTGTGCAGACAGTATTGATAAATATGAACGAAACGAAATATCGGATTTTTTCAATGCGAAGGAGAAGACGTGCAATATGATGGGACTACATTATTTAAAGAAAGGGGACACAGTTCAAATAAAAGTGATTACAAGCGACACGGCTGTTACAATAAGCCCAGACAAAACTTTCTTTGGGGCAGTTCTTCTTTCTTAGATTCGTTATTCTGTGCTCAATGTAAGTGTGATAATATAAGTATGTGAGAAATACCATGAATATAATACCCATATTTTATGTTTATTGGTGTTCAAAATGTAAGTATTTGAATCCTTAAATGAGAACTCATCTGATCAGACAGACTAGGTGGAATGTCGTATAATCGACTGTCACCGAAATCCCGATTTATAGTTTATCAGTTGAGTGCATTTTAACTCTGTGGTAACATTCAAACCAGTAAAACATTACAGGAAAATAATTTTTGCATCTGTGAATACTTTTAATCAAAAAATTATGAAGATATTTTAATTGCATTTGCACTGGCAAAATATAGAAATATAAGACATTTCTTAAATATTGATCTCATAAAACGTGTGCCTTTATGTGAAACTTTAATCAGTAAACTTAGCTTCATGTGATAAAGTGAAAATACAGAGATATACGGGTTATTGTTCATGTCTTGAATGTTTAAACCTCATGTTTTCACCATATGTATAATATTTAACAGGTAGTATATGTTCTTCGAATTTTCAAGTTTCTTTACAATATCTTTTGTTTTTTATCATTAGTTTTGTTACCTTAAAAAATAAAATAACTTCAAAATATCCACCTTTCACTTCAATATACATATATTTGTACATATTCTAAACAGCATGTCTTTATTTATTTATAGCCTCATGTTTAATCTCCTTTAAACGTTTTTCAATTGACTATGACATCTGTGAAACAGATCTAGTATGGATGAAAATTATTGCTTCGTACAAATATTTGATGTCCATCTCAACGGGAGTCAGAAACATTGGAGAATTTCAAGTTATGTAGCCAGTTCGTGCTCTTGTTCATTAAATACATATGTTGATACAATACACTAGTAGATCAAATGCTTAGAGAATTTTAGAAGGCATTGACTTGAAAAAGTGATATCGAAGTAACTTCAAAGTATATGGTTCGATCGTAAATACAAACTATATAAAAGCAGCACGTAATAATTATTTGGATGGATTCCAATTTGAATTATCAACCAAATATACAGTGCAGAATTGGAACGTTGTCAACTTTTGTCGTATCAAGTAAAACTCTTTATTAGCTGAGTATCGTTATGTAGAGCAGGCTTTTTAAATTTTATGACACCTGCATGAATAGTAAGACATTCTAGCATAAGAGCGTCCGACTTTTGCAAATTATTTTAGTCTGAATTTTTGCTCATATCAATGTGTCCAAGATCTGGGTGTATTTTGTGACTTCCTACCGTTGGAGAGTGACATCCAGACAGACCTGTAAGCTTTGAAGATGAGCACATCGCAAAGTATCAGTCTCTATCTATTATCACTACCTACTTTCAGACAGATGTTTTAAAGACAATGTTCGGCATTATAAAGTCTGTGCCATAGTTTTAAGACTAAATATCAAGACTTTTAATGTTCTTATGAATGCTGAATAATAATTGGGCACTGCAGATGTTTGAATCCTTTGAGAATTCTTTTGACCGAATACACAAAATATAGTCTTACATATCTACAACTATTCTTTCGGTCTGTGTATTCATCAGCCCTCACATCAAAATGCAATTATGTATTTTTAAACATTTTTTTAAAGGTGAAGGGGTATAAACAGGCTTTCAGCCTCAGAGAAAAAAATGCTTCTAGAAATTGTTTTCAAGTAGTTGAAAACGGAAACTTTTTGGAAAGCAATTTAAATTAATTAAATGTGTTTTTGGAGGAAACTGATTTTATTACATAAATCTGTATTTAGTCAGTTTTTATTTGAACCGTTTTGCTTGTTTGTATTTGTATGATAATTCATACAACATAGAAAATCAATGGATTTGTATATAATTTTTTACACAGTCAATATCGTTTTAAGTTTAAATATTTACCTTTTCTGTAGGTTAAATCATTAAATGATACTTTTTTTGGAAAAGAAAACCCACAATATGCCTTTTTATGGCCTAGCAAATATGAAAAATTTGAAGAGGGCTTTAGAATAAATGTTTTTGGTAATTCTCACCCTAGAACATTGGTACATTTCACACGTGCAACTTTTTCGTCGAAATCGGATGTTAATGATGCAAACTTATTCAATATACAGTATACTAAGAATGTTCTGTCTCAGTAAGCTGTATTTCAACTAAATATCTCCTTTTTTCTTTAAAAAAAAATCCGAATTCTTCTTTTTCATTATCATCGGAATAACCATGACTTAGGCTTAGAATGAAAATACAGTCCTCCGTGCCGAGAAGGTAGCAAATTATCAAAGTTTCGGTTTATTTCGTTCCAGAAAGTAAAATGTGCTTTAAAATGGAAAGAAATCTTCTTTGAGATTGAGCAAACATTCCACAGGGCTAAAGATCTAAGTTCACGAACCATCAAAAATTGTCTCATCTCAAAAATTAACGGCGTGACTTTCATTACAGATAGTTAAAACTTCGACCCATGGTAAGGTTTAGAATTAAGTTTGACATCAATTAACATCCTAAGACAGAACATTTTTAGTATACTGTATATTGAATAAAAGTAATTAATGAAATGAGAGTAGTGTTTACAGAGATAATTTCTGTTAACAATAGGATTTAAAAATAGATTTTATGCAACTTGAAAAAAGTAGTTTTACGTCTTGGTTAGAATGAGCATCAGATGTGTTTTGGCATGCAAAAGAAACAAAAATTAGCGGATCATAGCTTTGCATGTGATAAACTAGGTTTATCAATTGTATGCGGTATCTATATTTGTTATCAATATTTTCTATCTATGAGTCTGTACTTATTGGTGTATATTATAGTTTACAAATGCTATACTAAATCTATCATTCTGTGAATAGTTACAAATATATCTTTTGCTTGTTTTGTTTGTTGTTGTTTATTTTTTAACGTCCCTCTCGAGAATTTTTCACTCATATGGAGACGCCACCACTTGCCGGTGGAGAGCTACAAATTTTGACCTATACTCGGCACTCGGGGCCATTGAGCAGTGAGGGATCTTTTTCGTGCAAGCACCTACTGCGACACGGGACCCCGGTTTATACGGTCTCATCCGAAGGACCGGTTTACATGTCCCACAGTGGGATTCGAACCTGCGACGTAAGGATCAACTCCTTACTACCCGACTCTAGAGCGAACGCTTTAACCACTGCGCCACGCGGGCGACATCTTTTGCTTGTAAAACTATGCTTAGTATCAGTTGGCTTAAGTTTTAAATAGTAGTGGGAATCATTCTTCAGAGCTAATGCTCTATGTTGTCAAAACCCTTTCCAGCATTTGAATTTAAAAACTTTAACTTTACATAAAAAATAACTGATAATTTCATAAAATTCATGTTTTATGTTCTTTAATTATAGTTATTGATTTCAAATTATAGTAAAAACTTAAATTTTGTTCTTGAATTATTGTTTACGATCCCGAAAACTAGTATTGGTTAAAACAGTTTATTATACCTCTGTGAATTTTTTCTATATAAAAATATTACGAATAAACATGCTATTTTTTCCAAACAGCCCCTACCGTGGAATAGTTTTTGTGCTATTTGCCCATGGTGAAATAGTCATTAAACTATTCACCGGCAGCATTCTGTTTCCCTCGCTTTTCATCTCGGAACTCTTCTGGTTTTATACAGATTGTGACGTAACACAAGTAAAGACTGCTTCGGTATAATAAAACACTTATTTACTGGCTATGAGGACAATAGCAAGTTTATCGTTCCCCTCGACAGCAACTATTTCCCTCGGCTGCGCCTCGGGAAATAGTTGCTGTCTTGGGGAACGATAAACTTGCTATTGTCCTCATAGCCAGTAAATAGGTGTATAATAAAGCAATAATTAACATTTATTTAGTCATAGTTTAACGTCGTAACCTAACATTTACTCTTCTAAGCTACAGCTCAGGGCTGATAATTATGATTTATCGGTCTAACGAGCTGTTAGCTATAATGCTCACATTGTTTATAGATATGTCGTGCCGATTCCACAAAAATGAGTGGTAACAGTTTTGCAATTTTTGCAAGTTTTAGATACGTAAGATAAGTGAACGAAACTATTCTTTACCGTAATTTTTAGGGTTGTCAACGAGTAACAAGAGTAAAGTTTGACCTTTTTTTTCCTTGAATAATGACCGAGTACTTGATCGGAAAGACATGCGAGTAACTGATTATAAAAAATTTATCGATTTGACAACCGTAATAATTTTGTATCTGAAAATATTGTCTCATAAATGCAAAATCAGTTTCATTGTCATAAAACTAAGTTTCTCAAACATAAATCGATTTACATATTTTTTGCTATTGAATTTACAATTCTAAAGTTGTAGACTATAGTTTTGTGTTGTAAACTATACTTACCATACATGAACTATGATTTAGAGTTGCAAACCATAAATAGTTACAGGTTTTAAAACTAAATTTATCGTATAAATTAAGGTTTGCTCTTGTAAATCTTAGCTTAGATTGAGCCGTAAACTATAGTTTAGTTAAAGTATAAGCATACAACAGTTAAATGTAGATTTTTGTTAATTATAGTTTAATCGCAAGCAACTGCATTTCAAGATTTATGAACCAAGTTTATCAAATGCTAATCAATGTTTCATCACTTTTGCTAGCCAAATATACTTGTAGACACTTTAGTCCTTTGTAGACAAAGTAATATTTACGTCATTTGTTTTTACAAACATACTCTTTTAATACATTATATATTGAATGCTTTTATCAATATTAATGAAAAGGCTTTATAAACAGAAAAAACGAATTTTTTTTAATATGCCCAATAACTGACTCTTTCTTTTGAACAATCATTTTGTGACCTTTGACTAACAATATATTCGAGAAATGGTGTTAATCAGATGTGGAAACTAAAAATTCAAAGGAACGTTTGGAACATTTGAAATCACAAAATTTTGCCAAAATTAACAACATAAAAACTTACGACTTTTCAACTTTATATACAGCTATTCCCCACAATAAATTAAAGTCTAGACTTTCTGACATCGTTGACAGCTGCTTTTTTAATAAAAATGGAACTCCTTAATTTACTTACCTTGTCATTGGTCATTTGCAAAATTACTTTGTCAAAAAACAATCTGATTGTACACACAAGTACTATGAAGTTGACATTAAAAAGATGCTCGAGTTTCTGATTGACATAATTTATGTGGTTTTTGGAGACCAGGTCTTCCAACAATCTATTGGAATTCCTATGGGTTCCAACTGCGCCCCGTTATTAGCAGACCTATTTTTGTATTCATATGAAGCAGAATTTGTTCAAAATCTTTTACGAGAAAAGAAGAAAACACTTTCTGTGGCCTTCAACTCGACATTTGGATATATCGACGATGTATTGTCAATTAACAATGATTATTTCCATTCTTATGTCGACACGATATATCCCACTAAGCTTGAGATAAAAGATACCACAGAGTCTGACACATCTGTTTCATATTTGGATGTTTTATCAGAAAAAGACTTAATGGTAATCTAACAACAAAGCTTAATGATAAACGTGATGACTTTAACTTTTCAATCGTCAACTTCCCTTACCTATGCAGCAATATACCCTTATCACCTGCATACGGAGCTTATATCTCTCAGTTGATTCGATACGCCAGAGCATGCTCTACGTATGAACAATTTTTAAAACGATGTAAGTTATTGACAAACAAGTTGATGAAACAAGGATATCAGCAGTCTCGTTTAAAGTCATAATTTCGTAGGTCCTATGGTCGATACAATGACCTTGTCAGCAAATACAAGCTATCATTAAATCGAATACTGACTGACTTTTTTCATACTAATTGTTAGGCCATTATTTACACACTGAATTGTCGACGGATTTTTCATCACGACAAGATGGGTGTGACCGGTCGGCAGGGGATGCTCACTCCTGCATGGCACCTGATCCCACCTCTGATGTCTTAGAGGTTCGTGTTTGCTCTGCTCCTATTTTGTAATGTTTAATGGACTTTTGAGCTCGAATACTGTTCGTTATCTCCACACATTTCATTGTACCTGACTATGTAACCATTAGTACAATGGAACGAAGTTGTAGATTAAAACAGGACAATAAAGGAATATTTTTTGTATTTACAGTTAAAACAGGAGGGAATATTACCACATATGTGTATGTTGATCAACATTTATTTAGAAAAGTACTTCAAAAGGTTATTACTTATTGTTACCACACTCTATGGAAACCCGGGGTGTAAGCATGCTTTGCTTTTAAGGAAAATGATTCCAAAATACTTTAAATGGACTTAATTTAATTTGATTCGCTTTAAATCTCATTTGACGAAACCTTTTCTAACCTCACGCGCAAAATATGACGTTGTATGAATACATAATACACAGAAATAGTGTAACATCATAATAAGCTTTCACGCAAGAAGTTTTTGGTGGCATTAGTGAGATACTACCTGGCAGCATTTCATTTGAGTAGTATATTAGTAGTCTCTTACTTCAGTGGACTTATCTTGAAAACTAGTGCACTAAAACAAATAGAGATACAGTGGCTCTAATTGTCTTTCCTTAGTTAAAGGTTTTGCTGTATCATAATTATTATGCGTCTTTTCACATATCATCTCAGTCTGAAATATGTACTTTTTCAAAGAAACACAATATTCGCGAATTCATAAGTATTTTTCTATACGAACATTGTATAATTTACAGAATTTACTGACATTAAGCGTCATTTTCAAAAAAAAAAAATTAAAAAATATTTTTATTTCACTTTTTTAAATCTAAGCATAGTATTTTAATTTTTAAAAAAATCAGTTTTAATTTGTGTTGTAATGTTTTGGAACTTAACGTTCTTTTTTTTCAAAATCTTTTCATTAAGATGTTTAGGCGGTTTTCAGTTTCCCATTTTCTCTTTTACTTTTATCCATGTCGTAACCGCTTTTATAAAGGTTAGTGCAAAGTTATTCAAGACTCCTTTGGTTGAACATTAGTCGTGGCCTTTGTCCAACAACCATAAAAATCGCTGACTTGCCTTTTTTGTTACCTTGCCCGTTTGCTAATACATGTCATGAAAATAGTTTTTCTTGTGAGAGAAATATCTTAAATTCAAGGTAAGTAAGAAAAAGAATAAAAAAAAAAATTAATATCTACACACTGCTAAACTTACCTTCTTTATAATTGTTGTATTACCTAACATTCTCTTCTGTGTAGTCGGTACAATACTCTGGTTTTCGAAGAAATGTTACACTTGAATTTTTCAAGGAAATATCCAGAGCAGGGAATAAAGGTATGCTGCCTTATTTAAAATTATATAAAGTTTATTTATATAGATCAAAAATTCCATGGGGTAGATAGATGTGTATGTAAAAATAGAATTATGGACTTTTCCAAAAGTCTATAAATAGAAGGGGTTTACCCTAGTACTGTCCAGTCTAACGTATAAAGAACATTTCCTGCATAATTTTCTTCATTATGCCAAAATTTGTCTCGGAAGAAAAGATGAATATCCACACTGTAAGTAAAATTTTGTCCAGTGATTTATTATTGTGTATTTAATTTATTCTGGAATATCTCTATGAAACTACATTGTCAAAAATTTAAACATAGGATAGAAAAAAGTAAAATTAATGACAAACAATTCTGACCCAGTTTGTTATCCAATCAAATAATGATCTGGGGAAGCCATTCTAAACAAAAAAAAAATACAATAAAAAATGCCAAAAAGGTGTGCATATTTTAAATTGCTTCATTTAAACAGAGTACATGACAAAATACATAATGTTTGGTGGCAAAACAATGAATTTTGCTTGGACAATAGGTCTTTGTTACCTAAAAATGTCTAAACGACGCAAAACCAAGCCTTTCATTTTCACGAACCCTTTACATTCTGCATTAATACTGATGTTGTTGCCTTTCCATGTCATCACGGGTATCTGACATTGTGCCCTTGAAAAAATTCTGAAAAGTTTTTCACCATAAAGAATGCCATTATAATTTCTTTCAGAGAAGTTGTGGAGGAACTGCACTGTTTGCAGGCTGAGTAATAGAAAATAATGAAAAGAAACACATTATAATACAATGGTAAGATTTTTTACACTATGAAAACTATAACTTCCACAAGTTTTACATAGGGAAGACGATTATATATGAGTTTACTGTACCATGATAAATAAAGTGGTTTGGTTTGATCATTTTATTGTAATTTATGTGCATAGGGAATGGATACAAGTTCTTCCACTTCAAAAAATCCATACGTAATGCATACCATAGTGTCAAACAAATAAATTACAACTGAAAATTCAAAGTTATACATGTGATATGTTTAAAAGATAATTTGACATATTATGAGTTTAGAAGCTACCAGATTCTCTACATGTAATTCGTACAATGATTTAATGTTTTGTCAAACAAATAAATTACATTTAAAGTTATACATATTTCGTATGTAAGATAAATTCAGGATCTACCTGAGTAGTTGTGTTGTTGTGGTCACATGTTCCATATCACAACATTGCTGATCCATCCTGAAATATAATTTAATAAAAACAAACAAATATTACACCATAAAAGTTAAACTTCAGAAGGATTTCAATGAGAATTGTTACTTTTTATTAGTTGCCATAAATAATCATATTCAAGGTATATAACTTTCATGCATCCTTAACAAAATATGCAGTTAAATAAAGACAAGCATTAAAATCAGAATTGACTTTACTTTAAATCAAAAACAGATATAAAGTTGCTTGCTGAAACTGATTTAGTATGTATAAAGATGCTTCATTTTTTCTTTCCTATTTTAAAATAGATAACTAATTTCTACTTTGGTTCTTAACATACCCGAAATAGTTATAGGTCATTCAAAAGTTTGTGTTTTGAGTAACTGTTATTTGTTGTTGTGCTACAAACTAAACATCTTACTTTCAGTAACTGTCTAGAATCTGGGTATGAGAAGATGGGTGTTTATAAACATTTACAGTACAGGAAAGGTACACAGGTTGTCTTCTCTTGTGAAATATCTACCTGCAATGAATATTTTAGATATACATACATGGTGTTCAGTGGATATCACTAATATACCAGTACACTTTTACTAAGAAATGATAACTTTCCTTAATTTTGATTTTGTACCTTTTTATCTATCTCAATGAATATTCATTGTATTATTTCTCTTTCAATTAATTGGTTCAATTAGTTTTAAAAAGAATTTTAACTGTTATTACATATTTCTTTTTCAGAGAAAAAAATATGGAGGGATTGTTTTCCTGATTTAAAATCCAGGGTGTTCATTTTGGCTAACAGAGAAGTATTTTGATAATTTTTTTGTTCACAGGAAAGACAACTCTAATTTTTTAAATATATATAAAAAGTGATCTGGTTGCTTATTGAGAATAAATGTTTTCATTTTCACATATTTTAAAACAATTTGAATGGTTTGCTAACCTTTGACTTAAGATGAAAATGTCGATTGGGAAATCACCTTGCATGTGCGTGATTTCATGACCTGTTTATACTAATATCTTAAAATAATTACAGGGGTAGTTATGTATTTTAGTGTGTCAACAAGGACTGGAAGACGACGAGGTCGCTAGGCCATCTCCAGGATTCGTGCCAAAAACTAGGACCAACACAGAGTTCCGAGAATTTTCTCCAGTTCGTGGAAAAGGTATAGACGTCTGTCAATCTGGTTTGATTGAATCCATAGCTTCCCTCCCTTTTCTGGGAACTCTAAAGGAACTATTCCATATACCCTTTGATTTCCAACCAGTTCGAACCCTTGAAGTACATTCTCATAAACCGTCACCTGAGAAATAGCACAAAGAACATGATTAACATAAACAGACATTTGGAAGTATGGTTAAATAATTGTCACTATTTATGAATTTTCCTTCAGTTCACCTCACATGGACTTTGACAGACACAGGGCCTCAATCATGCAGATATGCATTTTTTGAAAACGGGTGACCTACAACGATACAAAAATATTAAAATAAAGAAATATACATATATTTGCATTTAAAAATAAGGAATAAAATAAGACAAATATAACCTCAAGGTCGCCCATTTATATTATGCTATTTTGAAATCGGTCACCCTTGTCTTATTACAAAGGTTTTCTAGATACATGTCGGCCAATAATTTTATATTTAGCTCCCTGACTAGTATACAATATGGCGCTAAACTCTGCATGTCTGTACTGAAGGATGAATTTGCGTTCATGTCATCGTTAATTGCCTTGTACTCTGCACATGCGTTCGGAAATAACTTTTAAGACATTTCATTCTTATATATTTCTGCAAAATGGAATACGATACAATAGAATATCCCTGCCAAAAAACTTGTCCAAATTGCAAACAAGTGCAGAAGAGATGTTTCATTTGTGCATGTCTTTTGTGTGTATTCTTAGCAGTACTTAACTTGATGGTCATTGTCTTTGTCTTAGGACGGCCGAACGAGCGAAATGATTCGGATATTGTAAAGCAGCTCCATGCTTTGCAGGCACGTGTCCAAGACCTTGAAGCAATTAGCAGCAGATCTTTGTCAGTGGCAAATGAAGCGCGTCATAAGGTAAGTTGCACTATAACCAGTCAGTTTTTTCACGTTTATAGATATTGTATGCCTCATTAAAACAATCATATAAAATCATATTGGTTTTTTGAAGGAGTTGATCTGAAGAGATTGTGGTTTGTTTGTTTGGTTTTTTTTTTTTAATTAAATATTTAAAAAAAAAAAAAAAATATTAATGATTTTTTTAACATTTTCATTTAATTCAACATGGTAGAACTCGTATAAATGACCAAGTCCTAGTAACAGAGCGACAAACAATGCATATAAGTACACTTTCTATAGCGTTTTGTCGCTTTAACAGTGATGTCAATAAGGCATCTATCAGAAATATCTCATTTTTTCAGCAAGACTTTCCTGGTGCGCTGGCACCCAACACTATCGCATAAACAACTTACCTAGATTAATAAGGGATGCTACATTAATCTTGATTCTTGAAAGCGTACCAGAGGACCTCAGTTTAGAGGCAATCAAATAAGATCTATGAGTAAAATCCTAATGATATAATTAAATTAAAATTATTTCAGTGTTGTCTGTATTTTAAGCTTAAATTGAGCGTATTAAAATACAGGAATACGTTATTTTGGTTTTGTTGAGAGTAAGAGAGATTGATAACATCTTTAGTCCGATGACGTAATTTTAACTACTTAATCTCTCTCTCTCTCTCTCTCTCTCTCTCTCTCTCTCTCTCTCTCTCTCTCTCTCTATGCATATTTTTTTCAGCCTGCAAGTTTGAAGAATGAAGTAAACCATATTTTCACCCTCAAAGGAATGTTGTTTGAAAGCCGACAAAAACGAAATGCAGATAAAAGAAAGAAAACTAAGCCAAATAAACACAGGCACAAATCGTGCTGCAAGCGAAAGGTAAGGAGAAATTACCAACCAATTAATTCATACAACACAACATGTGATGAAGATAAATTTATCATTTATCACGGTAAACATGATTGCTCAAGTATCTAGAAATATTTTTCTTGTATTCTTACATCAGCCGATATATGTAAATAAAGAAATGCCATTCTCCTTAACAAATCAGTTTCATTAAATCATCTTTTAAACGTATGAGCTCTTCTTAAAATGAAAATTTGTTAAGATTTTTACCTTAAGAATATCCTCAAGCTTGTAGTGAAATGGTCAAACTCCACGTTGTAAATAAAGACTGATTGTGGAAACTTAATAAATATAATTCCCAATCCCTTATTTCCCAGAAAACCCTTCCATGTTTATTTTTATTGCATGGGATTGACTTTAATATTTAGTTTTATTTCCAGAAACTAAATAACTTCTAGTTTCATGTTTTAATTCCAGGAATATGTCTTGTGCAGAAAAAGATTAATTTAATGACGTGTTTATATTCTTATAACATGAATTAAAATTGTCAATAATTATTGTAAAAAAAATTTTATATTGTTCGAAATAATGCTCCTTTCAATCCGGGAAAGCATCTTTTTCGCATTGTTTTAATATTTGAATTAAAATCTTGATCAAAAACTAATTCATATGTATCGAATATGTATAGAATCTAACAATATCGAAGAGCAAGCAGATTTCATATGTTTACACATATCAACGATTCAATTGGTTTAAATTACTAACCAATGGAAATAAACTTCCTAGTTGAAAATAGACTTGTATAAAACAAGACGGGTATTTAAAATCTGACCTGTTTCTGTTCATATCCTGAGGGTCTATAATACCCTTTACGGAATGTAAATAGATGAAGAAATTTATAGAGTGAACTCGGACATCTGATTGTATGCTGTATGTCATCTCGCCTTCTTGGCTGGGTCAAGTACTCGATGAACTTATTTGCGAAATTTATTGTCTTTTTAGCAAAAATGCTCTATTTTAAAAATTTTAAACTTGTATTTACTAAATTGCATTTAATATTTACATGATTTTTTTTCCCTGAACATATATCTTCATTTGCCATGAGCGTTCTGTTGTGATGAAAATTGTTCTAACAATGAGATTGATATTATACAAACATAAAATTACTCTATAGCTACCATGTGTGTTCATGAATACAGGTAAGAACATGAACGAAATCTCCAGAAATGAAAGAAATCGAAGAGATCTTATTTTTGAACTATTTAAAGAATTTCGAGATTCTAATTACCTAGAATTGGCTTACTCTGAGAACTGATTTGCTATTCCTTTGATTTTTTTTCCTGCTCATTGTTGCAATTAAACATGCGTTTCCTGCATTCAGAATTTTTCATAAATGATGTCTCACAATTCTTTTGTTCAAAAATTATATATAGTATTACACATAGTATCTTATGAAAGGTTTATTATCCGGAGAAAAAAGAAACACAATCTTCTGAAATTTCTGAATGATGAAACACTGAAATTCAATGTTTTAGGATAAGGATAAAATTTACAATTTCACTACAAATTCCATTTTTGGTAGTTTTAAATACATTTTCTTCAAAAAAAATCAAGAAAATACGTCACATCTTGAATAGAACCACAGTTTTTTTAATAACTTTGTATAAAGGCGTGCAAAATTCTTCTTTTGAAAACTAGACACTAGACACCAAAACAGTCTGTAAACGTACATTAATTAGCACTGAATTTAGCACAATCTCTATCTGAATAGCGCAATCATAATAAGCACACTTGAGTTTTAAAACATGTATTATTTGTAATCATGTATTAGCGTGTACATGAATTAGCGGAAAAGAAGGAATGCCAAAAGTGCTAAAATATTATTACCACTAAAATAAGTACGTTTACAGTACTCAAACAGTATAAGAAATTACATTTCAGAAGTGTTTTCCCTTTTCCTCTGTCACAAATTTAAATAAACATCTTGTAATATACACTGCGCTACATATATTTCAAAGTTAACGTCGAGTTGTCTCGGACTGACGTTTTACGTTGACTTTTAAAATCGAAGATTAAAAGAAGATTTTGAAATTCTTTCTTAAAATATTAATTTTTATATTAAGACTTACATGTACTTAGTTTAACTAGATTTGAAAATCAACAAAACACTGTTCGCGAATAAATCCTGAGAATGTGTACGAATGTTTCAAAAATGGAGAAAATTGCACATCCCCTATATTAACGTCTTTCAATTTTCAGTTTTTATCGGTTTCTAAGAATTCTTTTTACTACAGACATTTATATGCTGTATTTACTATTCATGTTATTATAATTATTTCTTTTTAATTTTGAATTGGTAATAAGTTTCTCTTAAAGAAAGCAGCAAAAGAAAAATGATTTTCTCAAATTCACAGTAATCAGATTAGTTTATATTCTTAAAATTGTTGTCTGAAAGATTTTTTTTTTTCAATGTGTGACCATATTCATTGTTATTTGGTGATATTAATATTGATGCATTTAGCCATTTAGCTCTATAAATTATGTTTATTCTGAGGCTATGAAATCAAATGTGTATAAATTGTGTATGAAAACTAAATTGCTCTTTAGTTTTAAATCTAAATTGTTCGGAGCTCCATTATTTTGACCAAAACCTTCTTTAAACATAAATTCACAATTGAAGAATACATTTTTTATTTAAGGTTAATAAATTATGGTATATTTGTTGTCCATAATGTATTTTGTTATGGAAACAATTTTTAGCATACATTGTTAGCACTTTTATGTATTTGAAAATTAACTTTTGAAATAGACATATTTTGGTTATTTTTAAGATCGATGCTGTACATATTGAAGGGACTGGGGGCGAAAGTTATCCTGATTTTCCCAGGGGTAAATATAAGCATTTTGTAATTGTTAACAAATTTTATTGATACTTTTTCATGATACTTTGAGCAATCATGGTTTTCATTTTATTCAAACCGTAATGATCACCTTGTTATTTTTCCCCTTTTCATTTATTAAGAATGAACAGTTTGTAAATAAAACATTGATAGAAAACAATAGTTTTAATAACAGTTTAAATAAAAATAATGATAGCTTATTTATTACTATTGCTTTATATATTCAACACGAAAAAAAAATGTTATCTATATGTATCATTATATTCAGTCATCTTTCTTCTAAGAATCAGCATAAATTCAAGTAAATTTAGATTATTTAAAGGGTGTAGATAAAGCATTTTTATGTTGTGTATCTTTTATTGTAATTTTCATATATGATGATAAGCGACAAAAAGAATTAGATATACTAAAGATGGGACGGACTTATCAATGAAATTATATTCAAGTAGACAGTGCGCAAATTATGTATCCAAAAGGCAACATAAGTGTTTAAAATTTTCCACAAGTAGATAAAAACAACTACATGTTCTAGTTATCTGCGTGGAACATTGAAAAAATATGCAAAAAAAGCACCAACCTATGAATGTCAATGTGTGATTCAGTTATGTTTATGATTGTTTCAGCGAGATTTAATTGGTTTTTTGACTGTGTGTATAATAAATTGCACGTATGATATCTTAAGGGTCTTTTTCTATTTCAAATGTAATTTCATGGCAACTAAGAAACATGCTTTGTAATCACAAATACTATTGGTCGATTTTGGAGGCTATGAATCCAAGTTCATGTACAGTATACAGTGAAACTTGTCCAATCTCGTATAATGCTGTATAATCTAAAATCTTGCCTAATACGATGTAAACTTTAAAATCTTTTCATTAATATCCTTTGTATAAAATGTTGTCTAATCCGGACTGTTGTCTAATTAATCCGGCCAATTTCTTTGGAACCAGTGGTGCCCGGATTAGACAAGTTTTGCTGTATACATGTATATATATATTGAATCACGGGTTTCAAAATAAAAGTGCACATAACGTATGAGGCGAATGCATACCACCATATCACATACTAATTTAGAACTGTTACTCTGCAAATAAATGATTGGATAAAAGCAAACAATAACAGATTTCCCTATTTTTAATGTTTTTCTGCCTCGTCATTGTAAAAGAGCGGTTAAATGGCCTTGTATCTTTAACACGGGCATGGCCCATTACTAATTTATTAATATCATCTTACCTGTTATTAGTGGGTGAGGTCGTCATGTCTTGGTCTTTTTTCAAAGTTTTTAGTGCAAATCTTCTGTGTAAAAGTCATTTAGTTTATATTTTTATATTAACGAGAAAGAGATTTGTAACTGAGCTTTTCGTGTTTTATATAACCCAAAATAGATTTTGCAGAAAATAAAATTTCAGACTAAACGACTTTGGATCACTTAACAAATCTATACAATGCTGATATTATTATTATTTTCGTTTTAAAGAATATAAAAAGAACATAGAGTGTGTAGCTCTTTAATAAGAAACTTATTATTTGAAAATTATGTATGAAATTTATGATTTCTTACTGTGACAACGGAAAGGGTCAATTACTGAAAAATATGTTAATGTTAATATGCCATTCACGGCAGGTCTTTTTTGCTTTGGTCAAAATCAGGGAATCTTTTACAAGTTAACACGTCTTGTTCGTGAAACCTTTATATTTAAAGCTCCTTTAAGAATATTTGAGACGATATTAAGTGTTTTAATACATTGATGAAAAATGGAAAGGTTCTATCATATATTTCTATATATTTTTAATTTTTATCTGGGTAAAAAATATACCTATGCATTTTCCACCTTTATATTTCATTTATATACATTTTATTTATTCAATTTTTATTTATCTACGTTTTTACTCTTATCATTTAGCATTTATAAGATGTTTTCATATTTCACGTGCATATACGTGAGTTGGAACAGGTAAAAATCATTAACTTTTAGTTGAATTAGAATCAGAATGATTAATATTTTTACTATTTAATATTTGTTTATGGTCGACATGTTTATGTTTGATCACACATAAAGACAATTTGGATCAAACTCCATACAGAAATAGATTAATATACGGGGATAATCTGAGATCTCGGGGCTGCAAGCCTGAGACTTTATCTGGTTAATTCTAATTGTAGACTGTAGAAGCTATCCAGGTTGAGGGCATGGTAGAAATAAGCAATGAACCAGTTGACCACTGGGCTTACGGTAAATCTAGTCATATTTCCTTTTGTAGTTAACGGGGCTGCAGGTTGTTGGGTGTGAGGACGAACATAGACCTAATGGTAATTCCAGTCTTGTGTTGTCATTTTCTTATACGCACATTCATTTTTAGCAATGCATGGCTACTGCGCAGGGGGTTTATACGTACATTTGCATTAAAGCTGGAATTAAGAATGGCTTATAATAAAATGGAAGTGACAAATTCTGTCACCCTTATTTTTCTAGAATGTTGTGCTTCCCGCTTTGCATTCATCTGGGAGAGGTGGTTACCATTCCGACGGTAATACTTGCCTTAAATTTGAAAATCACACCTTTTAATCAAATTTAGCTTTGTTAAAAGAATGCCCCTTTTCTTTATGTTTTGACTCTATAATTCTGGGGAAGAACCTGCATATTTGTTTGATTGTTTTAGAAGCATGGAAAATGTAGTTATAAAGAAACAAAAGAGAATATGAAGTATTCTGTCATAGCTGTGTCGCTGAGTAGTTTTTTTTATCTAGTGTTGCAAATAATAAAATATATAAACGTTACAGATTTCTATTATCACTCAATCATTGCTGTCCAAAAATTAAAGTCCAAACTATTTTATTCAAAGAGTGATTATCTGAGAGAAAAATCCCTCTGTTTTTGGTCCATTGCATTATAATTCATTATAAATTTATAATTTTGAAAAATGTTTTCATGATTTCTCAAAGTATCAATGGTTTCAAGTAATTTAAATAAAATGATTTTTTTTTTCGTTATGGTATCTAAAAGGATGATCTTCATTTACAGAAAATCTTTCAGGAACATTCCACAAGTTTAAATATGCAGACTGGTTTTTCAATCAACCAAAAAAAGCAAGAGAAAAGCAGTTTGAGCTAGACTTTCCTAATGGAAAACTGAAAGTGAAGCAATCTGGGCTCTATCTTTTGTATTCACAGGTGGGTATTATCAGTAAGATATATACTCATAAAATTTATTATAATTTGGTGAGTCTTAGGTACTTCGAAAAGATCGATTGTGCTTGTAATCATTGTATTACGTTTATCAATGCTAACAATTAACTATATTCCGAGTAGCACATGGCAAAGCTTTGGTAAATAAAACTTCCTATATGTTAGAAATAATGCACCTCTGAACTTTCTTACATGTACATGTAGTTTGATCAGGTTTCAAAAATTAGTAACTTTAAAAATTAGCCCTTTTAATATTGAAGTTTTAAATAATAATTTGTTTGAAAACTATTGATATATATATATATATATAAAGTGAGTGTTTTTCCCCAGGTTTATTTGCACTAAAAACCGGTGTTGAATTTTCTATTGTAGATAACGTTAAAGGGAAATGGAACACAGGGTTACCACGTCATAAGAAACGATAAGTCTCCTATTTTGGCATGTTATTCAAATAACATGATGTTGCACGACGAAGACAAAACATCCTGCTTTACCATGGGAATGGTGAAACTAGCGAAAGATGATACAATTGAAATAAGGCATATTTCTAAATCTGGGATTCGAGCTGTCTTTACATCGAATGCATCTTTCTTTGGACTGATTAAAGTTGGCATTTTCAACAAAAAAGGAGCTGTTTTTACTGTTTAGCTTATATTGTTGAACAAATTCTCCAGCACTTCCACATTTGTCAAAACATCATATAAACTTCATTAAATGGCATAGTCAAAGTCGATCTCAGTGTTGAGAGTCCTAGAAAAAAGGAAGAGAAATTCGTCGGCAACAGGTTTATTAAGTGTAAATACTTCAATTCTACCTCACATTTATTTTGTAAATACAGCATTGTAATGTTTATATGAAAATTGTAATTCAATGTAAATAGTACGGTTTGTAATGGTTGTAAATATTTATTATTGTCTTTAACTTGTTATTTGTATTGTTTATATCGTTGATTGAATGAATGAATTTTAAAAAAAAAAACTGGCTGATTTTCTAACCCCTTCCTTGTGGTCTTTGAAAATGAGTTGCATGATGTAAGACTCTGTGAACAATTCTCCCCGGTACCTTCATGAATATCTCTCATATTAAAACACGGGTTTGTCTAACGAAAAAGCGAAACGCGTCTGAATCGAATCCTGGAAAACAAAAATTTTGTGCAGCCCACCTATCTTTAAAAAAAATGGAAGTTTTTAGAGAAAAACTATTGGTTTCAACATAAATTATTTCTTTTGGAGATTTTTCCATTGGGTACAAGATAGATATAAACTGATTATTAAGATTATTGAATATTCAAACAATATTTCTTGTTAATTTTAGTAAAATCAAAATTTATTTATTCAAGCAAAAAGCTTTTACAAATTAGTTTGAGATCATATTTGTTGGTGAGGACACAACGAATTTACCAACTCTATGAATATTGCTTCTAAATCGATCTTTCTTTGTAGTCCATTTGACGTTCCCAAAACCTGTTAATGGTAAGCAATCCTCTAAATTTCACCCTCTCCTTTACGAAATTAAAATTTTTCTAAAGATATTGTGATAAGTATGAATTTATTACATGTGGAGTTATTTCATTTTACTATCATCTGAAATCCAATTATCTCTGTAAAAATTAGGTAAAACTAATCAGCTGCATTCATTATGAAGGGTATTTTGTGCGGTTCAAAATTTTAGCTTGTGGCATAAACAAGTGCGTCTCTAATTTTTTCCTATTCAATTCTTTCTATATTGTCAAGATATGGTATTTGAATATCTTTAGAATTTAATCAAAACCGAACATTCGACAAATGCCTGTCAAAACTGGATATATCTTCAGAAAAAGGCATACTGACTTGATGTTTTTACACTGGAAACAACCTTCTGTTAAATGTCACTGTGAAGCACAAACGGGAAAATATTGACAAAAAAAGAATGATTTTGTTCAATTCCTGAAAGTATTAGGTTTCAGAAAATTACAGGTTTTGGAACCTATAAAATCTACTTTTATGGAGAAAAAAAAATAATTTTTACCTGGCCCAAGACGAAAATATTGCTTACTTCTTCCTCCTTATTTTATGTGTGCGTAGAAAGGTTGTAGAAGTTACCATGGTCTCAAGTATCAAAAACTGAATGTCGGTAGACCAAAAATTTTGATACCACATTTCAAAAGTTTATTACAATTTGCTGTGGCCTTCAACTCGACATTTAGATATATCGACGACATATTATTAATTAAGAATAGTTACTGCCATTCATATATCGACTCGATATATCCCAGTGACCTTGAACTAAAAGATACCACAGAGTCTGACATATCTGTTTATATATTTGGATATTTTACTAGAAAAAGACTTTAATGGTAGCCTTAAAACAAAGCTTTATGATAAACGTGATGACTTCATTTTTTTCAATCGTCGACTTCCCTTACTTATGTAGCAATATACCCTTATCACCTGCATATGGGGTTTTTATCTCCCAGTTGATTCGATACGAAAGAGCATGCTCTACAAATGAACAATTTCTAAAACGAGGCAAGCTCTTGACAAACAAGTTGATGAAAAAAGGATATCAACAGTCTCGTCTGAAGTCATCATTTTGGAAGTTTCATGGTTGATACAATGACCTTGTCAGCAAATACAACCTATCATTAAGTCAAATGCTGACTGACGTTTTTCATACTAATTTTTTGGTCATTATTTACACACTGAATTGTCTACGGATTTTTCCCTTTTTTTTCCCCGGTCATGACAAGGAGAACACGGCGGGTGCGACCGGTCTACAGGAGGTGCTCACTCCTCCATGGCACCTGATCCCACCTCTTATGTTTTTGGAGGTCCGTATTTGCTCTGCTCCCAATTTGTATTGTCTAAATGGACTTTGAACTTGAATACTGTTCATTATCTCCATATTTCATTTCTCACCTTTGTATGCTCTAGTTCAATATTGTTTACATGGTTACGCTAAAAATAAAAGTTGCGTGACCTTGATATGCACGATAACTACAACCTTTGTTTTTTCGGCACTTATATTTTGCAGTCTTTTCTTGCTTTGCAGTACAGTTGAGTTTGTCATATCTTCACTATACTCATATTTTTCATAAATCTTCCGCATTATGATATAGTTATCTTAAAAGAAATACATGATTTTGACTCATTATGTAACTTTAAACAACAATGGTTATGACATCACAATAGTCGAAATTGACCAGATGCTTCTAAAAGCAGATACCTCAACTCATGTTTGTAATGTCATACTGAGTGTGAGGTTATAATGTCTTATATTGGAAATAAATATTTGTTTTTAAGATATTTCTCATTAACTGATGCAAGAAAATGATAAAACAAATGAAGCCATTTGCTTCTCCATGGTATATATCTATATATTTAGAGATAATATTGACTTAGGCCGTGAAGGTTACACAATTTGTCAAGAGTCTTCACAAGGGGTAAATGTGTGGTTTCTTGTAAAACTAATGTTGCTACATATATTGTTGAATAATTGATTATTCTTGTATTTTAAATACAATAAATTTTTTGCCCAGATAAGGTAAAATACACCTTGTCAATTTAACAAACACATTTGCTTGTAAATCCTTCTTGTTTACATTTGAGTCAAAGCACTTAAATCCACGTTCACATGCGGTTCTTTGGGTCACCTACATTTTGAGACCTTTACAGATTAAGAAGTTGGTTAATGTTGCAAAGGTATTTTGTTTTGTACACAAATGCATATAAACATCCTTCAGAAAAAAAGTTGTGATGGGCAAATACAGACATTGCAGCCATTCGCACAGATTATCACAGAATATATGCTAGTTCCAAATCTTTGGACTTTTGAATGTGTTTATTTTTAATAATGGCCTTCCAATACGTATTGCATGTAAGGAAAGTGGTTAATGTCTTAAAGGATTTTTTTGGAAAGAAGTTAATTAAACAATCTTCTAAAGAATAGTTTTAAATAATGCTCAAAAACGGACATCACAGCCATACATATACGTTTCTTTTTTAATTTCTTTTTTTACTCAGAACATGCAAGTTCCAAATATGACCTTTGATTGGGTGTATTTTAAAAAATGACCTTCTAAGATGTATGTACAGAACAGCCAATGATATAATATGCAGATATCTAATAATTAGATCCATTGTCAATCTGTAGTTGCAAGTTTTAATTCTATGAATTTCTATTTCTCACACTATTGTCCTTGACTTTTTATTGTATTTGATGATTTGTCAATCATGCAAGTTGCAAACTGAAATTTCCTAGTAGTCAATATTTTTGCAAAGTCATGTTGTTCACTAATTTGTTTGTTAATGTTTTGCGATTGCATAGTTCATAAATAGCTACGACATTTGAACAGAGGGGCGGAGAGTAAGGCGGTCCTCCGTCTCTTTAGATAGTGGCGATCGTTTCCCTACATTCTCATAGAGTTTGAGACTGAAACCAAAAAAATGTTAAATAATTGAGAAGGGAAAATCCAAACCCAAAAATGGAGTACATGTTTTCACAGAAAAAATCCAATTGTTCGTGTGCTTATTCATGTAGCCATGTGGGTTGCAAAAAGGCTTTGGTCTTCCTGTCTTTTGCAGTATTCATTCTTGTTATTTGGAATATTTTTTTGCAATATCAAGTTTATACGGTTTCAGTAAAATTGAATGGATGCACACAGAATGGCGAAAAGAAAGCACAAATGGTTAATGAAATGAAAAATTCCTCGACGGAAAATAACAGAGCTAAGGTATTATTTTGATTATGTGTTTTGATTTTATACAATTTTATATCTAAAAAGCAACCCTATCAAATGAAATACTGATTTTGTGTTCAAATAATCTTGCATTTTTTATTTTAAAGTTTACAATGCAAAATTCATTACTTAATAAATGCTCTGATTTCTTTACTTTTTCTAATTTTATCTAATTCTTTTTATGGAATAAAACAACATGCCTCCATATTCGTTCAATGATCAACCATTTAAACTAATAATACTATTAAAGAAGTGATTACTTTCAGAGTATGCCCCTACCATTCTTAGTCAGAGAACGTCGTAGTAATAGAAGTGAGTATATAACTATTTAATAACAAAGAGGAAATAATTAAAAGAGGGACTTAACATCTAAAACAAGTATACTAATCTCTACCTTGGCCAGAATATAAACGTAATATAGGATATCTAAGTAGGATATGATTTTATTTCCTGCTTGTGTCCTTGGTGTTCTGTTTCCTTAAATGATATTAAATAAACAAATATTACTTAACATAAAAATAGCAGTTTTCTATTTAATTTCAGTGACATTTTGATGTTATATAATCATTCTGGAGACAATTTTAAGTCTGGAGAAAAAGATAAAGTCGTTAGTGTGCTAAACTGGAATTCATGACATCTTTATCATATAATCTTTACTGGGATATTATATAATTATAAACTTCAGTGTAGATCAATATTTCGTTATAAGGACCCATGTCAAGAGATATTGACCGAAAACTCAATAAGTTATAGCCACTGAGCTTGCGAGGTCGCTATTATTTTCTGTGTCTGAAGTTACCACCACTTGACATTTGTCCTTATAACCACATATTGACCGTTTAATGAAGTCCATTACAGTTACATTTTATAATCACTCAAATTGAATAATCTGACGTAGTGCTTACTGAACAGACTTGACTGTCATTACGTCACAATGGAGAAAACATGCTTCTTATATTGATGTCATGTTTACGTAATCTTTGTGAGGCGTTTTTTCTCATTACAGTATAGAAGCGGTGATTCGTGCAATACCATATTCCGCGGACGCTCTTAAGCGTCAATATCCCAAAATGACAAAATCACGAAAATACGCTTAAATTATATAGCATTTTCGAAAATGTTTACTCCTTTATATAGTAGATATCGGTCAAAAGATGTCGTTTTCATATCAACCGTTGTGAAATCACGATGATTTTACGTTAAAATGATGGTCAAATAAGATGGATTCATTAACAACAACATTGTTAAACATGTGATAGCTATGTAAAACATGTGATAAAAAGAATCTGTTATGGTTTGTGGTTGGATTTGATTTTATCCAACACGTGTTTTCTATCCCATGGCCAAGAACACACATCTCGATAAACATATATATATATATATATATATATATATATATATATATATATATATATATATATATATATATATATATATATATGATTAAGGAAAATTTATTTTTAAAAAATGATATGGTGTATACAAAAAGAAAATAATCATGTAAAATAATTAAGAAAAGAAAACAATCCAGAATAATAATTTATAAGCAAATATTCAGTAAAATTCCTGAGAATTTTCCATTCACAAAACATCATTACCCTTAGATCTGAAAATCAAACAGTAAAAATACTATGCAAATGTGTACTTCATGTACATCTTGATTTGAAAATAAATATGCCATTGATGAGACATAAATATACATTAAACATAATAATTATCATTGTATTCTGTTCAGGGTTAAGGAATAGAGTTTCAACCCTCGAAGACGGTTATGCAGCTCTTAATTGTACAGTTGAAATTTTGAAAGGTAAATTTCTTCAATTTATATAGCCAAATTCTATGTTATTCTTTCTTGAGACTAACAGGTATTTTTCTATCCACATATTGCTCTGTGTATTGATGATTCCTGTTCTTTTTTCTTAATACTAGGATATTTCATTTTAAAAGTTAACGTCTATTTTATGTAGCTGTCATTTTGAAGAAAGTCGCACATCTTGCCATGAGTAATAGCATGAACAGAACGATACTGTACACTAGAGTGGATAATATTGGTAAGACATATTATGAAAACTGATTCGATTTTATAATTTGACCTGAAATATCTTTTAAAGTCCAACAAAATACATTCATATCTATAATTTTGTCAATAGCCAATTGTTCAAGCAACGCAGGGTGTTTGAGATGGGACAATCCGTTGGAAGAATTCAAAGACTCGTTCACTTTCATTAAAGATGGGAACAATATGCCAGTGGCAATAAAAATTACCAGTCCGGGAATATATTATGTATACGCCCAACTTGCAATCAGTGGGCCAGATCTGAGGTAAAAAATAAATGATTTGCTAACCAATATTTTTTTTTTTTTTTAACCACTTAAATTCCCGTGATTTTGTTCACGTGTATGGAGAATAAGGTGAAGCAATTGAATTTAGAATAAATCATGAAGTTATGAGAATTTATGCAATAAATTTATTTTTATAGCACTAGTTATGATTCAACCGTAGGATTTCAGATTGTCCAAGTTCGAGGACAACGCGAATTTACCTTGTCAAAAGGCATTGCCACACAGGACCAGAGGTAGTATTAACTTCATAAGCTGTAGTTTTGAATAGTACAAATTGAATTAACCTTTTAACTCAACACTTTGATACTGTTTTCTCTTCTTGCATATAAGTTACATATATTTTCCTTACCAGAGGACGCCGTTACCAGAATATAAACAGTAAACCGTTTCCAGTTGACACGGTCCTTGCTCAGGGGACGTTTAAGTTCTACTGCTATGATATGATATATGTAAGACTAATGGGGAATACGGAGATTTCTTTCGGGAGTGATACATCATATTTTGGTATTTACCAGGTAAATCCAGCAAATAATCCTGAATATGAAGACCACAGTAACCATCCGTAATACTCGGTTATAAGGAAATGTCGGTTTCAAGAAACCATTTTTACTATGTTCCTAATACAGATAAAAAGAATTGAAGTAAAATTCGAAGTCTAAGTGACTTCCTTATAAGCAAGTTTTACTGTATATCGTTTGACAAGTGAGAGCTTACAGGAAAATTAAAAAATGAAATATAAATAAATACAACTATGTAACATATGTAAGAGATCAATTTCGTTTTAATAAATTATAAAGTTTGATACTTTATTTCATTTTTGATAGATGCCAAATTTAAAACATTTCATTTATGATTACGATAAATTTTTAATCCATATCGTTGCCTTAAGCAATGGCGATAGTGGGTGTGTGTGTTTGTGAACAAGCCCCTTAATTGTTCATATTGTTTTATATTTTTTCTTGAACAACAATAATCGCCTATCAACAAACTTTGTCATCCTATACTGGCAACGCATGAGTTATTTGTCCCTTCATAACCCATATATTTTTCATTTCATATTGCTTGATATTGCCAGTGGTATGGCCAGTAATCATCTCTATATCTATTGTAAATAAGACAATGTGGATTTGTTTTTATTATTATGATTATTTTTAATGTTTTTATTTTTATAAAATGTACATAGAATTTTTTTACGCTCTAGTGTACATGAATATTTCATATTTTACATATTTTTTTCTTTTGAAAGCGTAAAATGGCAGTGCTTTTTCTCATGAAATGGATATTTGATTAGCATCTTATCGTATAAGATAAATTTTTGCTCCAAATATATTTCTCCATGTTTGTCAAATTCTAGAAGAAGAAATTTTAAGCAGAACCTATTCATTTACAGACAAACCATATCTCTAAAGTTGTTAAAAGTCTCTGAACAATTAATTATAGGAATTTAATATTGCGTATATGGGACTAAAATACGGAGAGCAAAATATAATATAATGTATTTATTAAAGCATAAACTTCCATTTTTTTTAACATCCACTGCAGTAGACAATGATGTGTTGTGAGCATTTAATTGTCGTATCATTAATTCAATTTGTAACTTATTCAATGACATATACTGGTATGGTATATATATAAATATCAGGAATTTTGTTAATTTTTTTCCTGTAGGCCTTTTCAGGTCTCAAACATTTTTGATGGTGTCTGTGCTATTAAATAAAAACCTGCAATGCAAAGTAAATTTTTTCTTTAGAAAATCAGGATGTAATGTTGAGGTCAAGACTTTTATGCTGAACACGCTAAAAATCCAATATATAAAACATTTGACTGTAGAAATGGCAATATTGTATATAAATATACATGACATTTTAATTATTGTTTAATTATACAAAATAACGTTTTATATTTTTAAAATGTATAAATGTATATCAGCTTTTGTATTTAAAACATGTCTTTGTTTTCAAGGGGTTTATAGATAACATGGAAATTGAGTAAATTGTGTTAATAAACTTAAATAATGATTAGAATTCAATGTTGTGATGTAATTGTGCTAATATATAGCTTCAATGTTGATATGTGTTTGGTTACATTTATAAATAATAATTTTTTATGAATTTAAATTTGATTCATTTTTGGATACTTCATTGCTATTGGTCCCAACACATGAATATATTTCCTCATTATTGGCACAAACAGTCTTCTTTTAAGGTTTAGAAATTATAGAAATGTATTCATTTTGTACTGTGAAATACTATTAAATAAATAAACCATTGATTAAAATCTCTTCTATTTTCATTAAATCCTTAAGTCAACCGAAAAGTAATACAAATATACATATATCAGTCTATTACTGGTATGATTTTAGAAAAATTTCTTGATTTGTACACTTTTTTGTAAAAAATATGGTTTAATATTTTGATTTTCCAAACATTATTCCAAAAAAATTATATATAAGTCTGATTTTAGGAAAATGTTTTCCAAATCATACCTCTCTATCCAATATATATATATATATATATATATATATATATATATATATATATATATATATATATATATATATATATATGCCGCTCAATGGCCATAAGTGCCGATTGCAGTCTAAGTTTCAGCCTTCACCGACAATTGGGGGCATCCAAATTGAGTGGAGACGTAAAGCATTCAAGCAAACAAAGCATCATGGTTACATATTTATCAATCTTCATAGATTTCACTGAGAAATCAGAGGCTTATAGGCTAAGTTCTAGGGTATATCTATATTTAAATCTTAAAGTATATTAATAAACGACTACAGAAAAAATATTTACAAATTACCATTCAATTGAAACGACCTTGTAAGAGAAGGGTATTTGTATGTATATACTTTACAGAAGAGGCGGGGCATGAGGGCGGGCCTAAGAATAAACTCAGATCTTCAAAGTAGGTAAAATAGCATACTTCATATAAAGCTGAACGAAACCAAAACTTTGATGTAGGCTAAAAATGGGAAAATCCCAATTCTAAATGGAGTGCAATTGTTTACCGAAATCGGAAAGCACGTGTCTGTGTCTGCCGATTCAGGAAAGATCTGTACACGGTGCAAATTGCAGCCATGAGAAATACCTACCAACCACCATCAAAGTACTTGGAGCTGCTGTTGTTTTCTTGTCAGTAGTTGTAGCTTATTTAATTATTCAAACTAATCAACTAGAAAAAACCCTACAGAGACTGCAAAACAATGAAGAAGCTCAAGTTTATTTGGCGCAAAGGCCTTTATTTGAACCTAAAAGTATCTTATATGGACAGAAGAAATCATCTGAAATCAACGTAAGTAATATATATATATGGGTTTTATGAAATTATGGTGTGCGGCAATTGCTTTGTCAAATTTGATTTTAAAAAAAGACAAGCAGAGGTACTAGTAAATGTTCATTTATACTTGGGAATTTCCGTGGGTTCAATCCGCGATTTATGCCTCTATTCGTTCGTAGTTTTTTTTTTTTAAAGATCGATCACTGTTCGTTATCTTCACCTTTTTCATAATAAAAATATTCAGCATGTTTGCATTATTTTAAACGGACTTCATATTTAAAAAGGATTCCAAACCTTTAAAAGGGCTTAGATTTATGTATGGTTATTTCTTTAACTGCTACTGAATAATATCGACAGCTTACAAGAGTGTTCTTCTTGCAGAGAAATCTTGAATACAGAAGAGAGAAAAGAAATGGTAATTATTTACGACAAGTAATACAAAAGTTCTGGGGCTTATTGTCATAAAACAGTGTATGCGCGTGACCATTTCAAAAATATGTCTTTATCTTTCCCTGAATATCAGTAATATCGGATCCATTTTATTTAAACTTGCTAACATGTAACATCGACTTTGAAACATTCCATGCAATGATCACCAAAAAAAAATTCTGAGGGAAACTATTGTTTTAACTGTTTTGAGCTTATCTTCGACTGCAAAACATCTCAGATGTGAAGATCATTAAAGACAATGCTACTCTTTAAAATTCATGTTTAAACCTCTAAACGATTAAAAATCATGGGACAATATCTTGCTAGCGCCTTTGGCTAATGTTGCAGTCACAACTACAATAAACCAATGTTTACGAATTACCTTTCTGGTATTATAAATTCACATATTTTGGCAATCAAGAGCATTGGTAATCATATCATGTGTTCCTGTAAATAGAAAAAGATTCCGATATTTTCCAACATGAGACTTTATATAGAACATATGAAGTACTGTATACATATGTATAATTTTTCATCAATGATACATCACAAGACATTGTAAGAATATTTTTTTTTACAGGGACAGTCATCAACATTTGATAATTTGTCATTTATCCTACTGGAAACGATTGATTGATTGATTGTATGTTGTTTTACGTCCCATTCGAGTACTGGAAACGAAAAATTTCAGTAAAACATCAATATGAAGGAATAAAAAATCAAAAGTTATACTAAACTGCTTTAGTATCAGAACTTTCTGTATAGCCCATGTTATTGTACTTTCGTAATGCTCTCTCTTTCCCATTCATTTTTTTTTTTTGGAAATAATTTTCCTTGTGTAATTTCAGGTCGATGGAGGAATCAAGTAAGGGCAGAATTATCTGAAATAAAAAGAGAATTGAGTACGAAATGTTCTCTATATATATTTCTTATATATATTATGAAAATTGAAGCATAATTGAAAAAAACTAGAATAGCAGTATTTCAACAGGCTGGTTTGTCTCAATATAACTGAATTCTCTCTTTTTTCAGACAAGTTGGTGAATACCACGATTCGAAACTTGGAAGGTAACCCTCTCTTCTTATTTCATTCTGCCTTAATGTTTTATTTTCTGAAATTCTCTCCGATAAGAATTAAGGATGTATTTAGATATATTTGTAATTTAATTTTAAAAATAGTCAAATTCATAAGAATTAAAGATGCATTTAGATATATTTGATTTTAAATATAGTCAAAATCAATCATAGTCAAGCAATTTTCTTGAAGATGGAATAATGAAGAAGGTCGTCCACTTAACAATGTCTTCCTCCATGACTCAGGACACCCTTAAATCTCCCGTCAATAACATAGGTAGGAAACATAATACTACATTTTGAATTTCTTTTTCAAAGCTGTACAATTTTGCTATAGACAGTTTGAATTTTAGAAAACGACTTCACTATGAAAAGATTGAACATTCTAATATGTCAAGAGATAACTTCCGGTATGGAAGCTCTTGAGTACTTAGTATATATCAAGTTGTCGGTTTAACGTCTATACTGATAACCTTACTTTTGTAGAGGGTTGCTACAATAGGAAACACTGCTTCAGATGGAGTGATCCGGAGTCTATATATTCCTCCACTTTTGACTATATCAGAGACAACGCCTACAATATGCCTGTAGCTATCAAAGTTCGCAGTCCAGGCATATATTTAGTATATGCTCAAGTAGCAGTCAACGGTCCAGAGCGAGGGTAGATATAGCTACGGTTGCTACGATTGGCATACTTAAATAGGGTGCTGTAAGATGATACGATTTTTTGTTTGCATGCCATCTTACAATAAAATAACAACTAAAAACGAACATTTAACAAATTTAACATACTTGACTGAAAAGGGCCACTTAGTCATTCGTATCATTTTGAGTGATACATAATTTTCAAAAAATCTTTCAGCATCAACATCTTCATGTAATATATAACTCAATTTACATGACGGAATTAATGATATTTTTCTTGGAGACTTTTTAACATACATATATTTTCAAAATGTATTAGACTGACAATAAACTTACAAAACTAAGGACAATTCCTTTTATGTTAAGGTCCTTGAATGATAGCAAACCAGTAGGTATAATCAAGCTTTTCTACTGTGTACTTAAGAAAGCGCAACACAGTGTTATTTGAAAGTTTTATTCCATCGTACAAAAAGCTTATAAATACATGTAGTAAGAGAAACGATTTAAGAATATTAGCTCGATTCAATGAATACCTGTCTGATTAATGGATGTTAAATTTGTCTTCGTTTATCGTGATCATTTCATTTCAAGGACGTTTCACGATTTCGTACTGCTTGTATTTTTGCATTTTTATTCTATATGTAGAAAAAAGGCTTAAATAGAAAATAAAAGTAAATAAGTACAGAAGTACACAAATTTACCTTTGGTGTGTACTTTTTTCTAATACTAAAAATGAATTTGAAGCTTTACACAGACAGGTTTATTAATTTATAAGCAGATATCTTATCTTCTTTTTATGGCGATAACTATGCTTTAATTCTATAGTAACGAACTGTTCTGATGCAAATACTTGTGATTTATGCCCCAAAGTATAAATAGACTTTGAGGAAATATTTGCTTTCTGTTTCGGTAGGGTGTTCTTTTTGCAAAGCAGTGCCACTTCATAACAAATTGCTACCCATCTCAAATCTGTCTTGTTTACAGCACTGCTCTGTTGGCATCTAGTTCAATTTTAAATGAATATTAAAAGAGCTTTGATCTGTTTGGCTCTTGTGTTTTAAAAGCATTTGATGCTTTTACTTAAGAGATCAATTTTATATGTAAACAAATCCATTTATAAACACTGACATTAACTTAGAATGCATCATAAATCTCAGAATGATTTTATCTAAGATCTAGTAGTTTTTAATAAACGTAGCATAAATTGCTTCATAATTATTTACAACTATATGCGCACATACTAGTACTTTGCGTTTATTAAATGTTAGTTTTATGCTATGATGTACAGGTACGAACCATCCGTGGGATTTGAAACAGTTCTGGTTCATGGTGGAAACGAAAAGACCTTGATAAAAAGTTACATAACACAGGATAATAGGTTTGTAATTCCTGACAATGTATATTTACCAACATTATGTAACAAGTAAATAAACCCGTGACCTGTCTGACATAGTTTTTAAAATAGGATAACATATAGTGTATAGCACCTAGGTCAACGTCCTGTTCAAAAACATAAACAAAAGTGTTTTTTAATATGATTATTATATCATTTATCCGCCTTATATTAATTGTTTTGTTCCAGGGGTCAAGCATATTACGATATAACAGTTGGAGAGTATCCTTTTGACACAGTGAATCACATGGGGATGTTCAAGCTTGAATGTGATGATTACATTATGATAAGACCAATTGGAGACCCTACATTTATCTATACTAATACGGAAGCGTCTTATTTTGGTGTTGTTCAGATCAATCCTGCACGAGCTCTACTGCATGGTGATTACAGTTGTAACACCCAAGAATGACAACTCTTATTTTAACTTTATACAACTATGATTACTCTGTAATTCGTTCCCTTTTGTAAGTCACTATCCTTCTTTGCATGATACTTTAATATATATATATATATATATATATATATATATATATATATATATATATATATATATATATATATATATATATATATATATATATATATATATATATATATATATATATATATCTCCTAAAATTAGCAATTAAATTAAAAAATTCTTCTTCCCGATATAAACACTTCACATGCAATCATAACTCATTCCCAAACTAATATGTAAAATGAGTATTGTTTAATTAATACTTGTATCTGTCTGATAGTGATCTCTATAAAGGGATTGTTATTGTTATTGTTAAGATAACGATCTATCATACTAAGTGACACTTGAAACACTTATCATTTCCACTTTTAACATAGAATAGGGGTCTGTAAATAGACGGTTTCTTTATACATGTATCCAAAACCATAATGTAACTAACACTACTTAAAGGGAAAGCATAACTTAAATTTGCAGACTGGTTATGTCGTTCTGACACAACTTTTTTCCTTCAAGAAACTTTTTATTATGACAAATAGTTAATGATTCTATACAACTTAACCAAAGAAAAGAAATTCAGGCATTAACTTGAAATCTTACGCTTTCTTTATTCTGTCAATGTTCATCTTAATGCTATTATCTAAGCGTTCTTTGTAAAACTTTCTTTTTCAGAGATCAAAGTTTTTTCCAATGGTGGTTTTGTAAGATATGGTTAATATTGTATATGTAAATTACGTGTGTTTAAAATTTGTGACAAGAGAAAAACAATGTGGTGTAAATTTGTTAATTTTTTCCAGATTATTCTCTTGTAGGTCATGAATACAATATATAAACTTTGAAAATAACATAATGGTAATATTAAACTACCTCGATAAAATACGTCATGATAAAATACGTTGCATTTTCTCGTCAATGTTATTTTTCTGTGTGTCTTGAAATCTGTGTTATATATCTTTTTTTCTATTTTGTTGCTTTTCAAACTTTGACATCACGTATTATATGATGGTCAATGTTTTGTAAATACGTTTGTGATTTTGTACATTATTTCTGTTTTAAGTTTAATAAATACTGTTATGACTGTTAATGTATTGCTTTGATTATCTTTCCTGTAGTTGGTACCATTTAAAATAGCAATTCCACGAAGAAGCCTGCTAGAGCAGAATTGTCAAAAGTAATATTACGCTATTTCTGTGACATAGTATTTTTTTTATTATAGTGACATTAATAAGGGACTTACATCTAAAGAAAAAAAATATATGTATTACATAAGAAATGTTCATTTCAACTGACCTAGAAACACAATTTCTATGACATAGTTTATTTTTTATTATTTTATTTTTTGATTTTGATTTTTGATAATGACATGTATACGGGGTTCACATACATTACAAAAGACAAAACAAAGAAATATTCATTGAAGCTGATCTATGTGATACTGTCAATCAGATATAGAATAATTAAATTTCATGATTATTATAGGAATGTTTGAAAACCCGTTTGATGAAAAATGCAATGTTTTTCACCATCATTGACTTATTACGACGACAGCTTGACTCGATGCATTTCCTTCAAATTTTTCTTGCATAAATGACTCTACAGTTTTACAGATTTTTTTTTTCAAATTGACCATATCTAACCAACATAAATGTTGTGAAGACATCAAACAATGTGAAAGTTACAAATGGTAATATGCTCTGATACCCTTAAACCTTGAAAATAAGTCGCGGCTTATTTTAAGTTTTGGTAAGAAAGTGGGGGGCTTATTTTCAAAATCGTCTTATTTTCAAATCACGGCTTATTATCAAAACAATAAATTGTAATCGATCGATTGTGAACTACTTTTTTTATTCTAAAAACAGAATATCCAGGATGAATAGTGTTCAAGTGTCTTTAATTCTGGGCGCCCGTTTTTAAAACAGTGAGCTATTGGCAATGGCGACTGCTAGACGTACTCCTACTCCAAAAAAAGTTATGACAGAGAATTTAAACTTAGGGTTGTAGAGCATTACAAAGAACTGTCACTTGGCAATACGAAAAATTGTATCATCAAAACCGCAAAGTATTTTGGAATTGACGAAAGCAATGTGCGGCGATGGATTAAGACAGTGTGACTCAACAGACAGAAATAAAACTGCAAGAAACGCCAAAAGGTTCAAAGTCACATGGTTCGGGGCGAAAATCACTTTATCCTGAAATGGAAAGGCAATTGCATCGTGAATTTATAGAAATTCGGGAGGAGGGATTGAAGGCAAAATTATGGTGGTTTAAATCACGTGCGGCCGAACTTGCAGATTCTGACTTCAAATGCAGTCGCGGCTGGTTTAACAATTTCAAAAAACGGCACAATTTATCGCACCGGGCAAGATAGATAGTAGTGAGGATCACCTCATTCACTTCCAGTGCATCGACAGCTGAGACGGAGAAGGAGGGGGCTGAAGACGATGAAATGGGCTGTTTTATTTTGGACAACTGCAGTGATTCTGATGAAGACATTCCTCTGGCTGAGCTCAAATTAAGTGTGTGACAGCACCAGTACAGCCCTGTATTTTAGTGCTACGTATAGTGTTCTTACTATAACTGAAAGTTGAAATTTTAATATTTTATCATGCCTAAGGATTTTTTAAAAAATAATTTTAAAACTAAATATTGGACTTTGATTGAATTTTTATGGTTTTATCAAAGTTTTAGACATTTCATTTGAATCTATCATAAATGTCATGGAATATTTATAATAAAATAAAAGAATAAAAGAATACTGTGTTCAAAATCTTGCATGTAGAAAAAAAACTCCTTTTAGTCTAAAATCTTTCCTAAATGGCATTGACATGACCGGCTTATTTTCAAAACAGGCTTATTTTCGAGTAATTTTCAATGCCAGAAAAAGATGGCTTATTTTCAGAACTGGCTTATTATTAAATCCGGTATACTTACAAGGTTTTAGGGTATTATATTATCAATAGTTGGATTTTGAGGCCAATTCCATAATGTAAAAGGAAGTCTTTACACATCGTCATTAATTTTTTTTTTCTGATGCTGTCAGATGGTATTTTGAATAGGTATTCATACCATGAAATATATGGAGATAACGAACAGTATTCAAGCTCAAAAGTCCATTAAACAATACAAAATAGGACGAGAGCAAACACGGTCCTCCAAAACATCAGAGGTGGGATCAGATACCATGGAGGAGTGAGCATCCCCTGCCGACCGGTAAAACACCCGCCGTGTGCTCCTTGTTATGATCAGGAAATAACGGAAAAATTCGTCGACAATCCATTGTGTAAATAATGGCCAAACAACCAGTATGAAAAACGTCAGTCAGCATTTGACTCCATGTTAAATTGTATTTGCTGACAAGGTCATTGTATCCACCATAGAACTTACGAAATGATGACTTTAAACGAGACTGCCGATATTCTTGTTTCATTAACTTGTTTGTTAATTATTTACCTCGTTTTAGAAATTGTACATACGTAGAGCATGCTCTTGCGTATCGAATCAACTGAGAGATGTAAACTCCGTATGCAGGTGATGAAGGTATATTGCTGCATAAGTAAGGGAAGTTGACGATTAAAAAGTTAAAGTCATCACGTTTATCATAAAGCTTCGTTATTGACGTTGCGCACGGTGTTGGTACACATTGACGTTACGTCAAAATAACGTTATTAAAGTCATAACGTTGTTACAACGTTTTAAACGTTATAATTGCATATTTTAGTTGTTTAATGTAAATTTTATTTATTTTTTTTAAATCTAAAAAAATTATAGGTCACAAACTTTTCAATTTTTGAATCTTCGTTGAAAATATTAAGATGTACACTAAAAATCTTATTATCTTATAAATAAATTGTAAGATTTTTAATATGAAATTGCCACAGGCATACATATCCCCATTCATACCCTTGATTCCTCTTTCTCTTTCTTTTTTTTTTCTCACTTTGTCCTCTCTGTCTTGCATAGAGAAAAACATCAAGTAGCTTTCTCTTTCAACCGTTTCTCCTTCATTTTTTCCATTAGGTTATTTCAAGTTTTCTACCTCTATCAAGCCCTGCATGTGCCTTGGTTTTTGACATCCAAGATCAGAGAAAAGCACAGAAAATCGGTAGTCCTCTTATGCGCAGTTCCAGGAATTTTTCAGAAGGGGGGTTCAACCAGTTAAAAAAAAATGACTCTCATATGAAGTTTTTGACAAGCAAAAAAAAATTATAACTGAAAATCCCATGGGGGAGGGGGGTCCGGACCCCATTTCCCGACCCCCCCCCCCCCCCCGCCTGTCTTATTTATTGAAACCTTTTGAATTCTTCATTTTCTTCCTATATTTTTCTAAAATATTTTAAATTAGGTAATATACTTAGCATTTACAACCTTGATTTTGCAAAGGAATATATTTTTCTACGATAGAGAAAATGTGTCTTTCTACGAGAAAAATGGAATTATGAAATCAAAACATTTAATTGATGTAATTTTTATGACAACCGGTGTACAAAGTAGGATTTCCCCTATAACCCCCCCCCCCCCCCGGAATCTAATGGGATTTCCCCCAGGGGAAATCTTACACTAAAGCCTATTTTTCCCCTATTTCTTTCTCAGAGTAGGTTTTCCCCTGTTTTATCAATGCTTAAATCATATCGACATTATTAAAGTTTATATGAAAATCAACTGATTTTTTAATAGAAATATTAGTGTTTTTGCTCAGGAATTGTTCAAATTTAGTATGGAATTTTAGTAGTTAAAAAAAAGTACAATACAAAAAGCACTGCTCTTCTAAGCTGTAGGATAGGTATGACCCCTCGACCACAGAGGTGTAATACTGGACAGCTATTTTAAATTCCAGAAACTTGGAGAGACACTTAATCAATATTATGCACATGTAGTTTGATGAAATAAAACTGGAGAAAAAATCCATTAAAAATCAAATTCCTCTTTTTTTTTAAATTAAATTTTTGACGCAACTAGACTTTTTTATTACAATTTTTGTGAAGTTTCATTAAGATTGTCTACTGCGAGAGCACCTGTGGAAAAATTATAGA